CATAATTAAGTGTGAAAATGTTATTTCTCTTCATAAGAACATTTTGTCTTAAGAATAAGTTTTTTTGTCTATATAATGCTTTCTTAAAATAAGATGGGCAAAGTGTTTTGGAAGGGCACTTGAGAATAAAATAAATTGTATATATGATTGAAAATACATAGTCTTTTATAGCATTTTTCTCGTGTAGAAATGGTCCACAGAGCTGAAAAAGTCATGATCCAAAGGTCTGGATCAAAAAACACACTAAGAAATTCAAAGATTTCAATCATCTACATGACTTCTCAGTCAAAGGTTTCTTCATGAAATTGATTAGCTTATTAATTGTAATAAATGTACATTTTTCTTGTTTCCACTGTATACTTTCTTTCCAGGGTTCGAGAGCTAACTACAACAAAAATAGGTAGCCTTTTGCGCATAACCGGTCAAGTTGTCCGAACCCACCCTGTCCATCCAGAACTAGTTAGTGGAACATTCACTTGTCTTGACTGTCAGACAGTTATTAAAGATGTTATACAACAATTCAAATATACACAGGTATTTGGCTATTTTATTATATGGGCATCAATAGAAAAATAAACTATGGAATGGGGAAAAATATATGTACATCGTGTATATAGTGTGTCTGTAAATATATATATAAAGAATCCAAAAAGTTAAAACAATGTTACTAGCATGAAATTATGTTAAATCCTTTCTATTTTATGGAAAATAACATTATGTTCTGTTGATGGCTACAGATTTTCTTTGAATAAGTATAAAACTCGTAGAAAAGCCAATGTAAAATTTGTATCTGTTATAGGTGGTTCAAAAATGTCCTTTCTGAATTTCTTTATTCTACTAGGAACAAAGTACAAGCCAAAATTACTCATTCTAATTTTGGAACACTCCAGTTTTTAATATATTTTTTAGCTTGTAGAATCAATGTAAGTACTATTTTAATATATTTAGCAGATGTAATCATTGATTTAAGCAAGTCAAGATATTATGGAACAGTTTTATATAAATTAATTATATATGTATAGAACTTGTATTATTTGGTGTTGTGTTTATAGTTCAGCTTAAAGTATTACCCTGTCTTATATAAAAGTACTAATGTTTTCCACATAAGTAGTTTTAGAATAAGAATTTTATATGAAAACTTCTGGTTTGATTTCAGCCAACAATTTGTCGAAATCCAGTTTGCAGCAACCGTGCAAGGTTCATGTTGGATATAAACCATTCTAGATTTGTAGATTTCCAGAAAATTCGTATTCAAGAAACACAGGCAGAACTTCCTCGGGGCAGTATTCCAAGAAGGTATTTAAATCTTATAACCTATGATTTGATGTAAACATTTGAGAAATAAATAAAAAATTGCATATAACTAAATAACTAACTGCCTGTCAGTAAGTAATTTTAGTTTAAGAAGTGTGGAATTTTGATATATAACTTTTTTTATATATAAGTATACTGTTTCTGTACCTTTTTTCTTTTGATCACCTTTAAATCTAATGAAATGTTTATCACATGGGCTTATATTGAAAACACAGTACCTGTATAATGAGAAAATCTTGAACAGTCAGGTTACAGTCACTACTCTCATTATGCCTTGGTTCTCAGCCATATATATTTCTTTGTGCAGTTCATCTTCAGAGCAAAGTTTTTAGCTTTTTTTTCTTTATATATATATTTGTACCATTCATAGATACAATTAATACGGTTACAGACATCAGTAGTTTTACAGATAATTAATATGTACACAGGTGGGAAATAATAATATTTATATCTACCTTGTCATCACCTCCTGATGTCTCCCTGAAGCAGATAGTCTCTAATAGCACTGGCTCTTGGGCCAGTCTGGGGCTTTTTACATTGAAGAAATCTCTGTAAAAATTCCCGGTGAAGATTGTATTTACAACAAATTTGACTGTTGGAATTCCCAGCAGGAGATCCACTGCCATTTACAGCCATTCTATAGCATAATCTGACAAGTTCGTTTTCAGACGAACAGCAGAAGTTCACAAAGTTCACAAAACGCTTGTGCATTTGAAATTCTACAGGATGATCATCCACAATTCTAGGTAACAAGTCACAGTAAGTGTCATCTGGCACCATGAGAATGCGACGAATGCATTTACGCCATGCACAATAAAACTTTCGATTGTCTTATGATCAAAATCCCAAAGATTCGATCCATATGAACACATACAATATGTTCTAAACAGACTGTATCGCACATCATATGAACAGTGTGAAAATTTAGATAGTAACGAAATACATCTCTGGTACAATTCATTCACGCTTTTCTGAATGGAATTTACTCTGTAATTAAAGCCGATGTAATGACCAAGGTGTACAGCTGATTCGCTTAATGAAACCATCATGCCATAGAACAGTATAGGCTATTCTACATTGTTATTACTAACTGAAGTAGGACACCTGAATTTCAGAAACTGGCATTTCACTGGATTGAACTTAATGTTAAGGTCTTTGCCTATTTGTTCGTCAATTTCCAACATATTCAATAACCCAGTTCTCAACGGAGCTAAAAGGATAATGTCATCGCATAAGCGATCACTCCTGCAAATGTTCTGCCAATGCAGCAATCCTAACCACAGTTACGTAGCTCAGTAAGTAACATATCAGCATAGATCGAAAAAAGCACAGGTGATAGAATTCTGCCTTGCTTGACACTTTTGGACACAGATATCGAATCTGAAAGAATCTCTCCCCAGCGAAGCCGCACTGCCTGTCCTGTATGCATAAGTAACAGTACTCTACATGTTAAAGGGCATAAACCTTTCTCAAGTAATCGTTTAAACAGTTTGATATACTGAAGATGGTTAAAAGCCCGACTCACATGCAAAACATGGACATGTCATTATTTAAGTAATACTGAATTACTTCTTCTACAGCAAAAGTACACTGTGTAGTCGAAGATTTCTGCTTAAAACCAAATTGCAGATTGGTTGTAACCTGTGACTCAGCATTTATTTCTAATATCAAAAGCTCAAGAAGTTTACTTAATGGGCTGTTTAAGGCAATGGCCCTATAATTACCTGAGCCACTTGGTGATGTTCTCATACTTTTTGGAATAGGTATGATGTTCGATGCCAACATATCACCAGGGACGTAACTATGACACATCATCATTATAAACAAAATGGTTAAATGTGTGCTTAATACCAGTCCTCCATGTTTGATATGGTCGGTAGGAGATAATCAGTCACCGTCTCTCTTACCAGAGTTAAGGCAGGACACTGCATTAACAATTAGGTCAGTCATAACGAAGTGGCCGTGATAACACTGGTCACTGCAGCAGTGATGAAGAATTTGCTCATCCAGTTCCTATACCAAGGTGGCCATATCCTCTTCTTCGTATGAGACACAGTTATACAGACGCTCATACTTACGAGCAAATACATTGGCGATTTCTCTTTTGCTGGTAGCACCATCAGTGGTAGAAGGAACAGGTTCAGAAGTTTTGTTGCACTTCTTCATCTCCTTCCATAAGTCATGGTTCTCAGACTATAGCTGATCTGCTAGGGATTTGAAATGTTTTACCTTACGATGATACTTGAATCTCAGATGCGGTGTAGTGACGTGTGCAGGTACAAATTGTTCTATTGAGGATGAGTCAACCATAGAAAGGGAAATGACACTATGATCTGAAAAATAATGCACGTCATGACATATCACACCTTTAGGCTGACAATCCAACATGTTATTAGTGACAAAGAAATTATCAATATTTAACCTATCACCAAACACATTCTCAAATGTGTAATCAGATGCATGTTCACCAATGTATGATCTGGTCAGATATAACTCCTTGTCCTGTAGGAACCTTTCCAATGCTGACGTGTGAAGTGAGCTATGTTGGGTGAAGTCCGTGTTAAAGTCACCACATAGGACAATCCTGTCATATCCATTTATATGGCTTATACAGGAGATATCTCGTAATGCAGAAATATATTCATCCAGGTTACCAGTGGAATTGGTAGGCATATAAACATTCAGTGCGACAAATAACAGCTCACCCGAGGTTAACGACACTGTTACTCCACAAACACGATTGTTCAAGCACTCTATTTGTGTAATGACAAGTTGCAGAGATGATTGCCACAAGATGGCACATCCGCCATGTGGCCTCCCTACGAGCAAATGAGAGTCATTGATGGCTGATATACCATGCGAGGTAATCCCAGTGATGTTTTCTGTAAATACTGACAGTCGACTAGTTAACTGTAAGTGTTCTTGAAGAAAGATGAAGTCGTGGTTACGAGTCAGTTCACGAATATAGTCAATCTTTCCGGGCCAAAAGCTCTTACAGTTATATGAGGTAAAATTGAGAGACATTATTAACAAGAATACAATCAGACGGGACATGACTAAACTACTAGCAGTTACAGAGTCTTTGTCACGCTTTGGTTTGACAGGCAGGTAGTATCGTTTGACTTGTATACACCCACACCAAATTGGTTGATTCAGTGTATCGAAATCCTTTTTGGAAACAGTGAAACGAAAAGCTTGATAATGCTAGTCATCTGGTGAAACTTTCCGTAGATCTATTACGTAACAATTGTTATATTCTACAAAAGCACAGATATCCTCAACTTTCACTTCGTTAGAAACATTAGTGACGTATAAATCACTGTCGGGACATGGTCATCCAGTAAGAGTACCAATTACGACTTTTTTTTTGTTGTTCACAGCTGACATTTTACTGTTTACATTTCTCATAGTACACAAAGAATACTTTGATTCAAAGCAGGGACACTTTCTCAGTCATGTGTTTGCATAGTCAAATAAATTGCAAATTTTCTTTCATTTTAGGTTTCTCAAAATAATTAGGCAACTTCTAACAACTTCTTTAAAAAATAACTTGTATTATTTTTCATCTGTACTTGGTTCTTTCACATGTGTTTTATTATAATCAAACAATTCCCTGAGAAAAGTTTTAAAAACATTCTTATACAGTTTACTAAGACTGATTAATTATTGGAGCCTTCCTCCTAGTTTGAACTTAATTCACATTAAAGTCAAATTCCCATCTGTATCTACCCTTTAGATTAATTCCAAAATGTAATATCAAGAGAAATCATTTTTTTTTTATATCCTATAGATCATGACTTCTCTTTATTTCATTGTTTGTTACCTATTAATTGAGTCATCTTTTCATCATTCCATTGAATATGACCTTTCAACTGGACAAATGTTTCATTGCTAAACTTTTGATCAATTGAACTATCAGTGCACCTAAGACATGTCGAATCCTACGTAGACCCTCTTGCACCTGGAATTAATCATTAAGACTTCTGTATGTAGAGATTACTTATTGCACTGTGATTGGTTTCATTGAACTTATCACTTGTTTAACGTAGACGTGTTTCAGTCAACTTTTATTCTTTCTCTTAAAGGTTTTTTCGTTGTATGGAACCTAGAATTCCAGGATTTGTGCATATTTGTTCCACATATAGAGGAATTTATTTCATCAGTAAAATATTTCAAGAAATTGGTTCGTTATAATGTCATTTCATTCTCACCTACCTGAGTTTAATACCCAGTATAGGGTGGACTAGAGCAGTAGTTCCCATCCTTTTTCCAACTGAGAACCAGCTACTTCCGATCCCAAAATTTCATGAACCACTTCGTACAATATTAACTTTTCAAAGTACTTTTATATTACATGAAATAATATATTTCAATAACTATATTTTAAATCTTTTTTTTTTTTTGTAATGTCTTGCTTGCCAACTAAAATCTCCCAGTGTACCAACACTGGTCCAGGGACTGGTGGTTAGGAACCACTGAGCTAGAGTTTTGTCATATTGATTATGCTGTCCCCATCATAATTTCTGATAACACACACCATACACATGTCATTGATAAACTTCTAACATGGTGATCTCATGTTGTCTTTTCATACATGTATATCATAAAGTTACCACCTTGATTTCTAGGGAGGTGAATGCAGTGGTAGCTCAATAATCTCTGTTGAACTTTAATTTAACTACAGAATGGTCAGTGTTAATGTTGGTTATGATACGTACAGAGCATTGTACTGATGGATTACCACTGCCTACATGCTGACATGAGCAGTTACAATTTTTATTAATCTTAACTTTTTTGGTGGCTGTTACTTGTTATCTGGATGATGGAGAGGATGTGGGCTCAGTATACTTAAATTGTCAAAAAGCTTTTTTGAAAGCATTGCACAAAAGATTAACTAAAAAAATCTAATCAGTAGGAGTTGAGGAAAGACTAGTTAATTAGATTGTAGGGTTGTGAATGAGAGTAGGTAATGGGTTATTAAAGAAATCCAATCAGACTAGAATTTTGTCATGAGTGGAGTGCATCTGGGGTCAATGTTTGGACCTTTGTATTTTCTTATCTACGTTAATGATATTAATATGGGTGTAGTTAGTAATATATGCTGATGACATTAACTATATTTTGGATGTTGAGGTACTGCATGATGACTTGGATCAATTGGTAAGGTGGAGAAATATTAGCAAGTAACCTTTAATTATAATAAGTGCAAGGTAATGCATTTGGTTTATCATAGTTTATGTACTAAGTTTATATTGGATATTTAAAAAGTTATTTCTGCTGTTCTGATACCTGTGTTCAGGAAACCAGTAGACACCATGTTGTGAAACTTCATATGTAGACCAATTTGATCAAGAAGATGACATGGTTCACATTGCAGTAATTATTCTAAACTCCCTGAATATAATTTTGGATGATAGCTTTTATACCCAAAGGTAGCATGATGTCATCACAACACACCATATTACTGTTTACATTGTCTTCCACATGGTCAAATTAGTCTATGCACTGAGTTTCACAATGTTGTGTCCATCAGTTTCCAAATGCAATCATCCGAACAGTAAAATTAACTATTGAAGCACTCAGTAGATGGGAACCCACTCAGTAGAATGATTAAAAAAAGGATTTTGAAATAGTGGTGGAAACCACTCAAGACATTGCAGCAGTGCTCTGTTATTAATTACTAGTCAGAAGAGGTAATTACCTCGATACAAATCATTAGTTAGGCCTCAATTGGAATACTGTGTAGTTTTGATCTCCTTATCTTAGAAAGGATAATAGCTTATTGTAAAGGATTCAGAAGAGGGCTACTAGGACAATTCTGGGGATAAAAAGTTTATGTTATAGGGATAGGTTAAAAGCTTTTTAACTTTTTTCTCTTGAGAAGGGTAAGAGGTGATATTCTTGAAGTTTAAAAAATTGTGCAAGTGATTGGTATGATAAAAGCCTTTGGTTTCTGTTGCTGAATTCTCAAGACAATAGGACAAGAAAATACAAGTTTAAGATTTGGAAAAGACAATCTAGGATCCAGTTGTGACAATTTTTGACAGTGTATAAATAAATAGAACTAGTTTCCAACTAGGAAACCAAAACTTGTTAAATTTATATTTACTGTGTAAGCTTAGTTGCTATATTTTTGTTAAATCTAAAAACTTTTCTAATCTTTTACAAAGATAAATTGTTTTCAGGTTCTTATGTTATTTTTACAAAATATAAAGATGTCATTTGCCAGTATATTAACATTAATAATGAATACAATTGTAAGTTTGAACTTGTTTATTTTTCCCTTAAGTGTTGAGGTTATTTTGAGAGCAGAAGCAGTTGAAAAGGCTCAGGCTGGAGATCGATGTGACTTCACTGGAACATTAGTGGTTGTGCCTGACATTAGTCAGCTGGCAACACCAGGTAAAGAGAGATGTGAACTTTTATCTTTAAACTGTTTTTCTGATGAAAAATAAAATACATTTAATATTAGACCTGTTAAAGTATGATGTAGTAGTTTCCAGGAGTAGTTATAAAGAGAACACTTCTCAGTACCATTAGTGGTTGATGTAGGAATAGACATTTTATAATGCTTGGGGTTAAAGTACACATAGAACACTTGACAACACTGGTGGTTGAAGTCCAAATAAATCCCTGAAACACTGCTATGTAAAGTCCAGAGAGAACACACAACACTAGTGGTTATGGTATAAAGAGAATATACTTGACAATGGCACTGGCAGTTAAGGTACAAACAAAAAACTTGACAACAGCACTGGTGGTTAAGTTTCAAAGAGAACATTTGACAACACTGGTGGTTTAAACACTGAGGGAACACTTGGCAACAGTGGTAGTTAACTCTCTCAACACGGGGCTCAATTGATTTGACCGACCATGTGACCTCTCTGTACTTGTTTAAATTCTTTATAGATTTGATATTACTAACTTTTAATATAGTATATATATCCTCACAAAATTTGTCAGTCTTTCAGTAAACATTATAAGCCTTTCACATACAAGTCTTTCATAGTGGAGTATCTTTTTGAATAGTCCATGTGCAAAGTGATTTTCATGTTAAGATTAAAAATACTTTTCTTCATCTCAAAAATCTCAAATTTCATTTATATAATCTCTAAAACCTCCTAAATACATTTCAAATATTTGTTTTCAGTAAAACTTTATATTTTATCTGTTATTTTCTTTACCCTAACTCTATACGGGATCGGTCAATTTGACCGACCTCATAACCACAAAAATAAAATTTGAAATAAAACTAAATTAACTTTTTATTTCCTTCTAGAATGACTTCAAATTGTAACATGAAACTACATTCGTTTATCCTAAGTAGCTTTAAACTTGTAACAGTATACATCTATTTATAATTAAATTTTATTCTTTTGTTGCCCTTTGAACCACATCTAACTACTATTCACACCATTATAAGTTTTAAATCACTTGGGGAATGTGGAGCTCATGTTACTCTATTGAATTACATTACTCGCGAGCTGCTCGCATGAGTGCCTTGTGAAATTTTTTTTTATATTATTTATTTTTCCTAATCTAACCTAAAGAGATCCATATTTTTACATTTTAGTAACTTTTATAATAATAATTAATGAATAAACAAGAAATAAATTACTTACCCAAGTACTCTTTCTTTTTTTTTTTTGCTGTCGACTGTTGATGACACTTAACCGTACTTTTTTATACTAATGGTAGTAATTTATTAAATAATTTTTATTTAATTAAATAATGCAACAAAGAATATAGAATAATAACATGGAAAAAGCAGACAATTTCCTCTAACTATCACAATTTTTCTGGCTTTCTAACTATGCGACAAGAGCCATTACAAATTCATCCAATCTAATCATTATCTTTCCCGTGGGAATGAAACTTGTACTAACAGAGAAATTGACAATTCTCTGTTCAGAAAACAACGTAATATAATCTCTCATTTGATAGATCAAAACCTTGGGTTTCTATTGGTTATAGATAATATAGAATTAAACATAAGAAAGAACTACTAACAAATCCTGAAAGAGAAGATGTGACAGATGGATGTGGCAAGAGGGGTCTGATTTTCTATTTGATGGCTATGTAACCAAACAAAATTGAAAGTTATAAAAAATATTTGTTGTCAAAGCAATGAAGATTTTATAATGAGTAATATACATTTAATTTCGTACTTATTGGAGGGGTGGTGAATAAAATAGAGAATAGGAGATGCTTAGAGAAAATCTGTCACACTAGGGAAAATTCAGGATTTTTTTAAATATTGCCTTATAAAATTAAGAAGTTAAAACTTGTATACTATTAAAATATGGATTATTAGCTAAGATTTTATGCTATACTAATTGGTATAACATAAGTAAAAAGTGGTTTAATAAAATTTTAAATGTAAATCACTAAAACCTCATGATATACACAGTAAATGATGCCCGGGTATATAGGGCTAGGGTACAAAGAAAACACTTGTCAACATTGGTGGCTAAGGTACAAAGAGAATACTTGACAACAACACTGATAGTTAAATTACAAAGGGAACACTCATTTTGTCTTGTAACATAAGTTATGTTTTATTTTGTCTTTGGAAATTAGTTTAGACTATAAAAATGAATTATAAGTTTAAGAGTGTGCTGCTAATCAGCATTATTAGGTTTGTAAGCCCAATTTACATCTAAAAACATAGTAAGATCTAACAACAATATATACATTTGGAAATGATCTGCCCAGTTTTAATGTTCATAATTTTACATAAACTTTATAATTATCAATGTGTATGTAATGTTAGATTTAAGTCATTTTGACTATTAGGTTTGCAGTTTAGATGCAACCTTGAAAATGTCAGTGCAGCTACCACATATACTGTAATATAACAATAGATATGGAGTAATAGAACAAAACAGATTATAATTTTAATCAATTTCAATTTTTCAATCTGAACAATGACTCGATTAATCAGATCTCAAATAATTATACTTATCTTAGTAAAACAACTGCCCTTTTCTACAGCTTTCCAATCCTGTAATGTATACCTGCATTTTCTTCTATGTTGAGAAACAATATAGAAAAAAAATTTTAATGAAATTATCATATGTGGAAGTGACATACATTTAATATATCACTAATTTTTAAGTTTAATAAAATAATAACTTATCTTTCTATTAGCATAAAGAATTATCTTACTGTGATTTTTTAAAATATTTAGTCCAAAAGGCATTTTCTATAGAGATATTGTTGTATTGATTATCAGCACCTTATGAAAGTAATTTTCATACCAGAGCTTATATTCAATATAAAAGTTAAAACAATAAAGACGTAGCTTTCATAAATACTGAATCTTATTGCTTTCAGTAAATATATTTATGTGAACTGATAAACATATCCCAATTCTAGGTGTTCGCACAGAAAGCAGTGTACGACATAAAGGGATGGAAGGATTTGAAACAGAAGGAGTTAGAGGTTTGAAAGCTTTGGGAGTAAGAGACCTGTCTTACAGACTTGCATTTCTAGCATGTGCTGTCACTCCTACAAATCTAAAGGTAAGTATTAGTTAGAGACATCACAAAATATATAAAGAAGCCATATAAGAAAATAATAACACAATTCAATCTTTGGTGGTTTCCTTCAGAGATACAAAAGACAGAAGAATTGAACTTTGAAAAGTATTATTATAGTCAGAATAAATGAACCAGTACTATGTTGTTGTTGTTTTTTATTCTTTTATTTTAAAACTACCAAATTTTCCAATTTTCAGCAGAATCCCATCAAATTCCTAATTTAAAAGCCCAACAGCACATTTTAAAAAATGGCATAAAAGGTCCTGTTGTTCTTTTTTGGGGAAACAAATGTTTTTTATATAGAGTGTACACAGGTTGGGTACATTATATTACAATGATTTTGCAACCTCAATATGTTGGTACAGTCCACATTGCCCTGTCTGCTCATGCTCTGTTTGATGACTGTAAATCTTGACAATAATCCTGCTACATTGCAAAAGTCTCTGACATAAGGCTGTCATGTCCAAAGTGCACCACTATTTTTTGTGTGGTTTCCATAATGCAACTTGTATATGAGAGTAACAGTTTCCCATAGCCAATATCAAGTTGGATTGCACAAAGAACCATAGTGTTATCTGGCAGTTTGACTAGTATGTATGCATATGGTGTAGCATGAACACCCATTTCATTCTTCAGTTGCTTGATGCATGCAATGGTTGAATGGAAGATTTGACTTGATGCCTTATCTTGATGAAACCATATCCTGTTAGCCTTGTTTCTATAAAAGTCAGTATTTCTGTATTGTACAAAGGGTCTAGAACAGGGTTTCCCAACCTTTTTGCTCTTTTGGAGCACTTGTTAATGGAAAACATTATTTGCGGAGCAATATCATCTGTAAACCTTATGGATTAGGAAAAGTAAAAAACAAATGCATAAAAACAATGACCTTTATTGAATAATTTCAAATAAAAGACAAAAAAGAAATATTTTTGGCACAATTTAGTGGCTCACTTGCGGTTGCTTCATACTGCAAATTGTTTCAATATCTGGAGTTATTGATGTTATCTGTAAACGAAGATCATTTTCTATGTTCAATCTATTTTTAAATTTGGTTTTGGTAGCAGCATATAACGAAAAAGATTTTTCACAAAGGTACGTTGTTGGGAAACACATCAAAAACTTCAATATATTGATTGTGATTTCTCCGTATTCTGTATTATCTTAATCCAAAAAAACCAGCAATTTCCTTTACTTGAAAGAAAGTTAATAATGTAGTGTCAGTGGAAATTTCTGTAAGTTGCTCTTTTTCTTTTAAAGACAATCATCTGTATTCACAGAATCAGTGAAGGGATTTTGAATCCAAATGAACTTTTCGACATGTGAAGGAAAGTATTCAACAATGGTTGCTCTCATATCAGATAAATGTTGCACGACAGAATCTTTTACGTCTTTATCCAGGGAAATTCCATTAACAAGTAAAAATTCACGAAGATTATCAAAGCAATCATAATTTTCCACCAAAACGCACACACTCCAAAGTTTTAGCTTGTGCTGAAGTGCATTAATCCTACTCTGAGCTTTGAAATATTTTACATTTTTGCCCTGCAATGCAACGTTTATTTCATTCAGATATGAGAATATATCTGAAAGGTAAGCCAATCCCTGCAACCAACATGTATCACTTAATTTGTAAGAAAGCTCAAATGGATGTTGAGACAAAAAAAACGTAATCTCCTCACGCAACTCGTACAATCTAGCTAAAACTCTGCCTCGAGACAGCCAACGAACCCCAGTATGCAGCAATAAAGTTGTATGGATGCTTCCCATATCATTACACAATAAATAAACATTTTTTGAATAAAGTGGTCTTGATTTTATGAAATTAATTATTTTAGTTACATCACTAATTACTTCTTTCAAATTTAAGGGCATGCGCTCGATGGCAAGTGCATGCCGATGCAGAAAGCAATGGATATTTTCAATTTCCGGGTTTTCTTTCTTCATGTGTGCTACAGCTCCTGAAATTTTTTCTATCATAGCAGCAGCTCCATTAGTGCAAATACTTGAACATTGTTTCCATGAAATTCTATGGTCTTTCATTAAAAAAATCAACCAACTTAAATATTGTTTCCACCATTGTGTGTGTAACTAAAGGCTTTTACAGTAAAATATCTTCTTCAATACGAGATTCGTGCTTATAATGAACGAACACTAGTAAAATGGCCAAGCCTGTAACATCAGTGGATTCATCCATTTGGAGAGAAAAAGTTGGACTCGGCTCTACTCGCCTTATTAATTCATTTTCGCAAAATGCTGACATGTCTTCAATACGCCTAGAAACTGTATTATTTGAAAGAGGCACACAATTAATGTTTTGAAGGTATTTTTCATCCGTCATACATTCCACAAACTTTTTGACACAAGGCTTGATTCAATTTTTAGCTATGGTATGGGATTCACCTTCTTTAGCTATACGGTAATTAATGCAATATGAAGTAATAAGAGCACTTTTGTTATCTTTAGAAATAAATGAATGAAAATTAGTTTTCTTTCGTCTATTTGTAAGCACTTCCTTATAAAATATTCACTGCTTTTATTTTTCAAGTGAGAATGATTGGTATCTAAATGTCATTTGAGTTTTACAGGAAATAGACTACTATTATTCAGCACCTTTCCACATTCAACACAAAGTCTGCTTAATCCTTCCTTATCACCAGTCCATGTAAGACCATGGTTTAGAAAGCTATCGTCATATTTTCTTTTTACTCTTTTTATGACACTTTTATTACGTGTTCTTGGTGCTTTGTCACATGGCAATGATGTCGACGAACTCGGCATACTTTCCTCATCTTTCCCACCGAGGCCTACTTTGTCAGAACTTCCAGAAACAACGCTGCATTCACTAGACTTGTTACAAGTTTTTAGCCATTTACCCATTTTATGGGTGAAATCAATCAATTTTATATTTGGAATTCTGGCACTGTTCAACAAATAAAATAAATGAAATGCAAGGTGGACAAAGATTTCCCAAAATAATAAACTGGACAAATAGGTAGGTAAATCCGTCCGGAATTACGATGTCAACAGTACTGGAGATTTGCAGCTAATAGGCAACTCTTGTTCCATGGCTCAGGCAGTTGATAGTCTGCACAGCAGGGTTGCCAATTTGGTTTATTTACATCTAGTGGCAATTTTTTTCATAACTAACCCATTATAGGGATTTAGTCTATACATATTTTCATTTTAGCTAATAAAAATTTTAAAATTAATATGTAAATATAGGAATTTTTCAAAATTTAGCTACAAGGTATAAATAAAAGTTGGCAACACTGACATACAGGCTTTCATGTGCATATGCAGAAAAAAAAAACAAGAAAAAAGTTACAATTGACGGTATAAATAAGTAAAAATAAATTAGAATTTCAAATACAGCTATAATTAGAGGATAATTAGTACAATAAACTTTCTCACTGATTATTTGAGTCATTTCTATGATGCTATTTTTTCAGTACATTTCATTTCTCATAATAATGAAGAAAGTTTCAATATACATTGCAGAGCATTAAAATTTGCTCTGCGGAGCATGGGTTGGGAAACCATGGTCTAGAACATTGGTCTGATAGTAAGCACAGTTCACCTTGACCTTTGTATTTACTCTTCTGATTCCTAACTTGCCTTTGACACAGTATCCAGCAGTTGTTATAGATCACCTTTGAAAAGTTTTGTGGAATATTTTTCACCAATGAACAGTAGAAAATGGCATGAGACTTGTTGCAATTTTTAAGATGCATATATGCTTTGTTGAGGATCACCACATGCTGCTATTTTTACCCAGGTAAGCACTGTTCGAACAGTTCTCTACAGTTAGTCTTCCTTTCCTTAATATATCGAGGAAACAACTTGTGCACATGTGACTTCTTTAGGTTTTCTAGGTGGAGATCCTTTTTGGTTATGTTGTATTCTGTTGTTTTAGAAATGTGATTTTGCCACTGACCTTTGTTGTTTTGGACATGTGATTTTGCCACTGACCTTTGTTGTTTTGGACATGTGATTTTTGCCGTTGACCTCTGTGTTCATGGATTCTCACTTATTACAAGACCCAGCAATTTCCTTACCATGGCTGGGGTGCAAGTTGTTGCAGTCTCTTTCTGGATGGTTTTGATTCCTCAAGTTGATCCATATTCCTTTGTTTTCCAATGCCATTAAGTATAAAGTATATTCCATCTTGGAAATTCTAATTGCCTAATTTGACCACTTCTTTCTGAATGTATGAATCTTTTACTTCAGAAAGGGCTGTTACATACATTATCCAAATGTGATCAATTTTAAGTAGAGTCGCACAAACTGTGAAACACAAAATAATAACAAAATGTTGTTCAGATACATGCTGTTCTACCTTGACTTTAAATCAGCTGTTGTCACGTGACTTGCTGACTAGCATATTCAAAATTGTTTAATATAACATACTTGAACCTCTGTATGTAAAAAAGATAATATACACACATACATCACAGCTGTTTTTACAGTCACACTTATCTGACATAATCATCAGAAAAACTTGGTTTTTGTGTAAATTGGCTAGCTTTGGCATACTTATCTTAACAATTGCAACTTTGTTTGGTATTTCTCATATCCTTCTGTCTTCAACTATGTATTTATAATAGGTTTTTTTATGCATTTTGAAATATTTTAGTATAATCCCAAAGTTTCATTATAAGACTCATTCAACATTAATGGCTAATCTGAAATATTGATGCATTAAGGACTAAACCTATCTTAACAACTTTCACTGTTTTGAACAACAAAATCACTATTATTTTTCTGTAAATGTATTTATAGGAGAATTTTCAAGACAAGAAAATAAAAGTGTTTAGTATTAGGGTATTATTGTTTTGTATTGATCTTATTCATGTAAAGAATTTAGCAGTATATATATGTTCATATTTGAAGCATTATAATAGTATTAAAGCATTGAACTTTCTTGCTATTGGCTTGATTGAATCGGCCGAGTCCATGACCCCAAATTCATCTTTAGTAGGGGTGATATTCTCCAAAAAAAAAAAGTAGAGGTACTCAACTGGATGGAGTGGATCTGTTTTTGAAAAAGAAAAAAAATCTACATGTAAGCATAAAAAATTACAAAGCAGCTCAAATAAGTCCTGGTACTTTAGTTTCCAAACTATAACTTTTAATATGTTTTGTATATCTTCACTAAATATCACAAGCTTTCAGTAAACATTACAAGTATTTTGTAGACAAAAAATCAGAATTTTAAATGAAGTATCTTTATTGAAAATTTCTCCATGAATATGTATGGAGTCGAAGTGTTGACTGCTCCAAGTGATTTTCACGTTAAGGTAAAAAAAAAAAAATACTATTATTCATCTGAAAATTGTCAAATCTCTAAAATCTCCTAAATAAATATCAAATATGTTTTTTCAGTAAAACTTCAGTTATTTTCTCTACTCTTAACTCTATGCATATTTGGTTCATTTGACCGACCTCATAACCACCATAAAGAAAACATGAAAAAAATCTAAATATACCTTTATTTCTTTATAAAATGACTGTAAATTGTAAGGACACTAGACTTGTTTATTGTATATAGCTTAAAGCTCGTAACAGTATACATCTGTTTCTACTTAAATATTATTGTTTTATTGCCTTTTGAACTGTATATAACTAATAATCCTGTCACACATGTTGTAAATCACTTGATGAATGTGTAACTTACCTAATTGCATTGAAGTACATAATGGACAAGCTGCTTGTGAACATACCTTGTGAAGAATATTTTTTTTTATTTATCTTACCTAATCTAACCTAGTAGGTTTCTAATTTTTACATTTTAGTTACTTGTATAATAATAAATAAAGAATATAAATGAAAAACAAGAAATATTGTACTTACCTGGGTCTTCTTTTTCTTTGCTGTCAACTGTCGATGAAACTTAAGCCTACTTTTTTATACTAATGGTACTAATACACTAAAAAATTTTTTATTTAATTAAATATTGTACCTAAGAACACAGAATAATAACATGTAAAAGTGCAGATAATTCATAATGTTTCTGGCTTTTTAACTATGTAATAAGAGCCGTTAAACATTCAGCTAAACTCTGATGTGTTTCCCATTGGAATAAAGTTTGAATAATTGGAAGTGAAATAGTCAATTCTCTGTATCAGACATAAGAAACACTAGAAAAATGAAAAAATTAAGAAATTTTCTATAGGGCCAAAGATTTCAGTTAGTGTTTTTGTTATTTAAGGTTTAGTAGTGGTTTTATTATTTGTTAAAATTTCTTGATGACAATCTTTATTTTACATGTTTTTATTGCTGTTGTTGGCTTTTTCTTTGCTTCATAGTTTTCATTCTGTACTTCCTTTGTTACAGCCAATCATGTATTAGTCTCACCCCAATTTTACAAGTGAGGTAGGAGGGGAGAACTGGTGTGTGTGTTTTGTTTTTTGAACTACTCTGTTGGTTTTGCATCTATTGCTTTGTCAATTTATCTGCAACTATAAGATAGATTAAATATTTGTTACTATCTTTGAAGTAATTTTTAAACATTTGGAGTTACTTGGATTTTATAGTATCATAGCTTATGATGAGATTAATAGAAAAAATATTTTCAGTTTGGAGGAATTGATTTTCATCCTGAAGAAATAAGTGCAGAATCTGTGAAGAAGCAAATGACTCCTCAAGAGTGGGAGAAAGTCTACAACATGAGTAGAGACAAAAATCTGTATCACAATCTCACCTCTAGCCTGTTTCCTACTGTTCATGGTATGTTGAATTAACATGAGTTTATACTTTTATCTTTTTTTTATTGATAAACTGTTATAAAAAGTGGAATCTTTCTTATTTCAGTAACATTTATTTTCCTCTTTTTGGTTTCTGAAACATCTGATGTACAAAATATGAACTTAGGTATTATGTACGTCTTAACATTTTTGGGCACTTGTGAAATGAAACTGGCATGTGATAATGAATTTCAATAATTATTTGTGAAATGTCCACATTATAGTAATTAATTAGTGTCATTTTTTTTCTATGGAAACAAAATTTGAAATCTGAAAGAAAGGCTATGAAATATAGTATTTTCCTGCTATGATTAGCTGTAATCTGTGTGTGCCTTGCAAATGAAATTTTAGCAAAAACTTGCCATGAAAAATTCCTGAATGCTTTGAATGTTTGACACAAATTTACTGACTGCAAATGTCTGTATAAGTCCTGTAATGTACATTATAATTCTTAATATTCTTTGTTTATTAAATAATTTTACATATGCCTAAAAACTTACAATAACAATTCTTTTTTAGAGGGAAAAATGATGTGTTTATACTTTCATTTAAAGCTTTAAATTAAAAACCAAAAAAATGGAATATTATTTTTGAGACAGAGTTCCATAAATATAACCATGATAAATTTGTTTTTTAAACATTGGTTTGTTTTATTTTATATTTGAGAAAAACAATGAATAGTTTTTAAAAAAGACATTTTAGAATATTATTATGTAAATAAAATAAGTACATTAAATTGTTATATTTATAATGAGGAATTTTTGAAACTATACATGCTCTTAAAATCAAGATTGAAAATGTCTCTTAAACTCAAATATTTTATATGTACCATAATTATAAACAGTTGTATGTAGGAATAACAATAATACTAGTGAGGTAAAAAATTGACTTTGAAGTTAGTAGTTTTATCTTTTATTTGACTGTTGTATCTAATTTATTAGTGAATGTAATGTCCTTTAGTAATTCTTTTAAACATGTTATTTTGTATTTTTAATACTTTGTTTTACCACTAGTTAAAATTATTAAAATGACAGGAACTAATCTGCAGTAAAGACACAATAAAATATTCTGATGTTTCTTTGTTCTTATATTTCAAGGGAATGATGAAGTAAAGCGAGGTGTTTTGTTGATGCTGTTTGGAGGTGTACCTAAAAGCACTGTGGAGGGAACATCTCTAAGAGGTGACATTAATGTTTGTATAGTAGGAGACCCAAGTACTGCTAAGAGCCAGTTTCTCAAGTAAGCTTCTTCAAATTGTTAAATACTTGAAGATTTTACTATATTATTTTTGAACTTTATGCATATTCTCTGGTTTGACTTAAATTACTAGTTTGTGTTTTACTATCAAGTTCTTTCCTGTTCTTATACAGTTATATAATTATGAATGTGGTATAACATGTACTTAAATAGTTTTCTTCAGATATTTAATGATTGTATATACATTGCCATGCATAAAATTTTTTGGTTATTGTATCACTTATGAATTTACTTTGCTTTATTAAATGAGATGAAAAGATAGCATTTGTATGTTAATATGATGTCTAATGGTAATGAAAATTCTCTCTCCATATCAATTATGAAGTTAGAATGAACTTTGTGATTTTTTGTTGTTTTTATCAACTCATACTAGAAAGAATGCTATTTACATTTTTATCCTCTTTTAGAAAAAAAAATTGCAGGTAACTCTCTTGATACTGGCTCGATAATTTTGACAAACTTTTAATAAACATTAAAGGTCTTGTACACAAAAAACCTTATTTTAAGTATTTATATTTGTCTATGAATATATGGAGTCACAGTGATGACTAGTCTGACTGCAAAATGATTTTTATTTTAAGATTAAAAATAATTCTTTTCATCTTACATTTTTCAAATTTATTTTGAATAACCTCTAAAGCTCTTAAATGAATCTCTAAAGTTTTCAGTAAAACTTTATATTTAACCTATTATTTTCTCTATCTTAACTCTATTTGACCAACCTTGTAACTCCCACAAAAAGTATGAAATAAATCTAAATTGTAATTTATTTATTTCTAGAATGGCTCCAGATTGTAACAGAAAATGACAGTTATTTATCCTAAACAGCTTAAGAAGCATGACAGTTTACATCTGTTTCTATTTAATTTTATTGTTTTATTATCTTTTCAACTGTATCTAACAAATAATCCCACTATACAAGCTGTGATTCACAATTATTTGCAAGCATACTTTATGGAGAATTTATTATAACAACAGATAAATATACTTAGAAAACAAGAAATTTAATTTGTATCTTTGTCCTCTTGTTTGTTTTGCAGTCGGACCCACCAATGAAACTTGTCTAGTTTTTTCTAATGATGATACTAGTACATTAAATAATTTTTTATATCAAATATGCACTTAAGAACAAAAAAATAATAGCAAGCACAAAGCAAACAATGTCCTGTAACTGTTTTAATTTACCTGGTTTTCTAAATAAGGTGTAAGTGCCTTAAAATTATTCCCTTAGCTACTTGATCTGAACTTACCGATAGCAACTTTCAATCTGTAAGTAAAATAATTAAAAATCTCTACTCAGAACAACATAGCATTATATGTCATTTGGTAAATTAAAACTTTGTCTTTCCATTAGTTGTAAATGATGTAATATAAAACATCAGAGAGAATTGTTGACAATTTGTGAAAAAGAGTATGTGATAGATAGGAATAGCAAGTGGAGCTGACTTTCTAGTTTATATCTCAATAAACAAAGAAGTTTGAAGGTTATAAAAATTAGACTATGTGTTAGTAATGTCTGTACTATAATGAGCAATTTATGTTAACTCTTTCAGCATGGGCTCGGTCCCTGGGACTGACCTCATAACCATTTTGTGCTTGTTATACTTTTCAGGCTATAACTTTTAAATTAGTAAGTGAATGTTAACGAAATTTGGCACATTATCAGTAAACATTATAAGGCTTTCATATGCAAAATATACATTTTTTATCAAGTCTTAAAGTTTGTAGAGCAATGTTTTTCTCATGCCTTTTTTTTTCTTTTCGCATGTTACCTATCCAACATGCAAAGTAATTTTCATTTTAAGATTAAAAAATACTTTTATGCATCAGAAAACTTTCAGATTTCACATGCAAAATCTTTATAATGTCCAGAAAGTTATCAAACATTTCTTAAGAAGAAACATTATACTTTATCTCTTATTTTCAGTAATGAATCTCTGTATTGGTTTGGTAGATTTGACCGATCTCGAACCACCATAAAATATTTAGAAATAAATATAACTTATGCCTTTTTCATTCTAGAATGAACACAAATTATACCACAAGAACCTAAATGTTTAGACTAAATAGCTTAAATCTTGTAACATTATACATTTATATATATTTATTATTTTTATTATATTGACCTTTCAGCCGTGCCTGGCTAACAATACAGAAGTTACACTGTGTTTGATTTATTTCATGAGCAATATCTTAGCAAATAGAAAAGATAAGACATTCTTATTGCATATTCTAGTGTGTCAATATCTGTAATTTGAGTTTCTAATTCATACAAGTCTATAGACTTAGTATTTTGATTTTACAAACATCTAATTTTAACCAGTGCTGCATTCAACATACCACGTGACACACAAAAATTGACATTTATCTGTGTTTTTTAATATTTACTTTTAAATTAAGAAATTGAGTAATGTATAGTACTAAAATTTCAATTATAATCTACAGTTTCATACCAAACTTATTGACATAAATTCATGAAATAGTGGTTCAATAAAATTTTGAATGCAAGTCAACAAACAAGATGATATTGCCTTTTGCCTGTGACCCGTTTCGAAAGGGTTAAATTGTTGACATCAGAGAGAGAGGTGATGAAAAAAAATTAAAAAATGTGCAATTCTGATACAGTCTTACCTCTCTCACACAAAGCTATCTTGATCTTTTTTCTGCCCTCTAAGTATTGCTGAAAAGTTTTTCACGCTCGGCGCACCAGTCTATATATCCCACCAGTTTTACACCACTATTGAACATGTACATAGCATATGACTACTCTTCACCGATAGTATTGTGCCACCTATATATGGGTAGCTACCTTTTTCTGCTGTTCCCACTCAGTCCTAACTTTCTTGATTGGCACAGCATTGTTTAGAAGTGTGTCTTTTCACACCTGTTTATGATTGTGCTCCTTTGCAATTTCAAACGTTTTGTAACAGTTTAATTTTACTGTGTTTGCATTAAACTGTTTCAACATATTTTTTTTATTTTTGCATATGTTTCTTGTTAATATATATTCGTGATTCAATGTATTGGCTATGGAAATTCCTGTTACAGTTGAGAACACTACTGCTACAACTTCCAGTTATTGGGTTCAACTTTATCTGCAGAGAAGGTACATGCCTTAATTCAAAGGGAGCTAGATTCAAATGTTTGGCTGGCAATTTCTACTTTTCAACTTAACGATGTTTCTAAAGAAGAATATAATCAAGAAAAAGATAATTTAGACTCTCTTGTAGCACCTTCTTATTTTGGTCTGTCACACACTACACCTCTTCAGGAGTTTTTCCTTTCCATTTTTTTTTTTCTACAGCTAGTACATCAGGTTGTTAGTTGACACGTATTTTGGTTTTGCTGTATGTTCAAGACATCAGTGATTTGTTAGTTTTATTTTTCCTGCTTCAGTTGCCGTGCCACCACATCTTTCACTTTGGTGAAGGTTTGTTCTTCTCCTCCTTTCTTCATATTGTTCCTGTTCTCCCAGTGGTTCTGTGGTAAGTTTTTTTGGCTTGCACACTTCAATCATAGTGGATATACCTGTGGTAGGCGTGGCTCAGATCTCCTTTATGTGGCTTTGTCCTTCTTGACACACGGGAGATTAAGTATTTCATGTCATCAGTGCTTGAACTTTGGTAAGTTAAATATTTATGTGTCCTTTGTTGTTTAAGTTAATTTAGATGAATCATAAGTTAGATATTGTTTATTGCTTTGTTTATCTAAGTAATCTTAGGCATTTTGCATGTTTATTAATATTATATACCTTGTAGACTGTAAATTTTGAGGGTTTGTCAATTCGATATTAATAAGTACTTTAGGTATGTTTAGGTAGTTTGTAAGTTACATATCATTACTAGTAGTCACATCTAATTCATTGTTCTACCTGTCTAATTATTTTCAGTTTTGGCCTTACTTATCTGTCCTTTGTCATCTAAGTTTAATTGTAATTAGATATTGATTATTACTTTGTTTTCCTGGTAATTTTTGTCAACTTGCACATTCATTATTATTATGTACTTTGTGAACTAAGTAAATTTAGATGATCTGTCAGTTCGATATTTATAAGTACTTTGTTATCTAGGTATGTTTAGATAGTTTGTACATTACATATCATTACAACTAGTAACATCTGAATCATTGTTCTATCTGCATAATTTTTTTTTCCATCATTGTTAACTATGTGCCCTATAATCCTCATTTTCATGCAGGACTTAAATTTTCTTTTTTGTTTAGCTTTGCTACATTGCTGATGTGTTTATTTCCTTCCCATTTGTGGGGTTGAGCTTTGCTTCAGTTTTTTTTCCTATATTCTTGATAATAGAAACCAAATTTTCTCCTCGTAATCTACAATTTGATGGTTTCGCCCCACAGTGCCCACATCATTAATACTTATTTATTGCTCAAAATCTAGTGTTCCAGTTCAGGGCCCTACCATTTGGACTAACCTCGGCTCTGTAAGTGTTTTGTCGAGTGGTACGAGCTCATTCCAGACATTTTCACTTCATGGGTCTTTGTCTCCTCTTTACATGGATCACTGGCTACTGCTCACTTCTTCCCATTCACCGTCCAGAGACCACACTCTTCTGCTCCTACAAGAAGCAGTGCAGTTGGGATTCCTGTTGAAAGAGGTGGAAATCCATTCTTACCCCCACTCAATTTCCAGTTCATTTTGGGGTTTTTTTCATTCCTACCATAGTCAGGCCCAGCCTTCTCCCCTTGGGGTTTGGGATATGGAGCAACCATTTCACAAGGCCCTCACCTCACATTCTCTCACAGCTTAAGAGGTTCTATCTCTTTTGGAGATGTGGGCTTTCTTAAAAGTTCTCATTCCCATGGGTCAGGCTCTTATGTGTTCCCTTCAGTGGTTGCTCCTAGGTCAGTGGATCCATTGGACCACCCTTTTACCCTTCATTCTCCGATCAGAGCTGATCTGGCTTGGTGGTTAGACAGAGACCAGACCACAGCAGGTGTACCGCTTCCTCTGTCTCATTCAAATTTACATATGTTCACAGACTCATCTTTAGAGGGTTGGGGTGCTTACTTCAACTCCCGGGAAACTGGTCAATCAAAGTCTTCTCTTCATATCACCATTCTCAAGCTTATGACAGGTCATTGAGCTTCGTCCCATTTCCTTCCTCTCCTGCATGGGAGGGTGGTTATGTTACACTCCAATAACTCAACAGTGGTCACTTACATCACCAAGCAAGAGTGTACCAATTCAAAGTCTGTGCTTTCAGATCCTGGATCTCCTTTTCTGGGCCATTTTACTTTGACTGGGGTAAGTCTTATCACTTCCTTTCATTTATGTTTTCTTTTCAGAGACCCTCTTTTTTTCACCACTGATAATGGGATCCACACTGTAGCAGGTTTTGCCTGGTCAGGTATGCTTTGCCTCAAACCCGCACCATTTACTGATGGCGCTATAATGCTCACTGTAGAGATGGGGTGTTCTGCAGGTGGCATACCCAGTATTATATACATTTGTTTCTAGATATCAGTAAGTTTCACTCAATGATGGACTGTCACTCATAGATTTCATGAGTAAAGCAGAAGGGGATTTCTGCTCATCCCTGACGACCCTTTGGTTGAATAAATCAGGGTCTGTCTACTTTTCAAAATAGGGATTTGCTGACACCCATTGCACTTTCTTCTGTGTGACGTTCCTCTAGACTCCTCACCTCGTTTACTCCCCCCCCCCTTTTTTTCCTTCCAGTGGAGCAAGGGAGTCCTTACCAGTTCCCAGTTACTGAGGTTTTAGACCATGAAGACTTCCATCAGAGTGCATTGCAGAATTTTAATTTATCATACATACTCATGATTTTCCACTCAATGAGAAAAGGGCAAAGCTAGTTTCCCTCCTTCCATTTCCCCTGGGTGCTTTTTTCCAGGTAGACAACTGTCAGTTGGAGCAGTAGCCCCATACATGGGATTCTCCTTGTAATAGGGGGTTTGGGATGACACCACCCTTTTTCTACAGTTATGTGCAGTAGAGGCCCCTCTTGTCATTAATTCCAGTTGCAGGAGGCTATTTCCCTGCTCCTACAGTTCAGTTTGGTGGACTTTATCTGCCTTGTAATACCGACAATGGGACATACGTATGCAGTTCGTATAGTTTAACAAATGTTCCATGTCCACCTCATAATTCTGGGTGTAGGATCTCTCTTCCCAGTACTTACATTTGGATGAGTTATGATTTCTGCTCGTAATACCAGTAATAGATATTGCCCTGTTCTTATGGTTGAGTTGAGACAGTGCCACGACCCTGTAATGTCAGGTGCAGTTTGTTGTACTTCTTGCTCCTACAGTGATTTTAGGAGTTTGTCCAGTTTCAGCTAACTTCTCTTCATAATTCCGGTTGCTTGATGTATGACACACTGTTTACTTATGGTTGGGGTTGATGAATATATGTAACACGGTCCACATGTCCTAGCATCTATGTTTATGTTACACTATCCTTGTTATCTGTTTTGATTCTCAACATCCTAGTGCCAAGGATGAGTTATGGAACCTCATCTGTCGAGTTGAGGTTGGGTGTCTACATAGTTCATTCCATTCATATTTTACTATGAATTGCACTTCACCGAACAAGTTACACTGGTGCACATCCTTCTTTTTTTTTTACGCCTGTATCACATTCATTTCCTGCTTCAAGTGTAAAGAGCATACCTGTTCAAGATGTAGTGCAGTACCCCACATGTGTGCTTCAGTTTGATCTTGGAGCACACCTGTTCATTCTTGGCAGTCACTTTCTGCTTGGTTTCAATGTTGATGGCCTACACTGGCCCCTCCACCTTTGGAATGTGTGATTTAAGCTTTGTGTGAGAGGAGGTAAGACCATAACATAGGTTAACATTTTTTTTACACTGAAAATGCATTTTCGATACATACTTACCTCCTCTCACACACTTCCCATGTCACATGCTATGTACATGTTCAATAGTGGTGCAAAATTGATGGGATATATAAACTGATGTGCTGAGCATGAAAATATTTTCAGCAATGCTCAGAGAGCAGATAGAAGATTGAGATAGCTTTGTGTGAAAGGAAGTAAGTACCTATCAGAAATACATTTTCAGTGTAAGATAATGTTAACGTTGGTGTGAACAAATGTCACAATACCTATACAAGGGGAGATCAAGAATTTATTTAAGTATTTCCTTTTAAAATTAAGAAATTAAAATTTAAATAATATTGAAATTTGACTTATTAACTACATTTTGATGGCAGGTTTATTCCTACGCATTGATAATAAAGTAGTTTAATTAAATTTTGAATATTAACTGAAAAAATTCATGACAAGCATACTTTGGCCTACCTGTAGCCAGAGCATTAATGTCATGGCAAGTGGACATCTGTTAATATATTCTAATGTGTTACTTGATTAATTCTCCCAAATTTTATTCAATTTGTGTACAACATTTCCAAGTTTATGCTACAAGGCTTAATAACTGCATCCCTTGACATTGTTTAATAAACTTGTAAATTACTGTTGGTTTAATGTTGCATCTTAAAACAAGGAACCCCTACCTGTTATGCATTGAAGAGCTGTCAAAGTATTTATAACATTTATACTTTTAGTAAAAAGTTAAACCTAGATGTTTTTATTTATCACTTGAAAGTTCATTTGTATCCATCTATATTAGTAGGTTTTATTTGAAGAAAAATAGATAATGAGAAATGATCCTTTTTGTTTCCATCCATGGTCAAACTTTCTTTGTTTAGAGGATAACTACAAGTCTTTACTGTCCTTCCCTTACATACCTATTGTGCTTTGTAATGCTGATTCTGTAGTAATTGTAAAGCTTGTTTGTAGCTACATCTAAACTTCTACCTTGAACACGATAATTTAAGTTTGTAATTTCTATGTATATACAGGCATGTAGCAGATTTTTCCCCTAGAGCTGTGTACACCAGTGGGAAGGCATCATCTGCTGCCGGTCTTACTGCTGCTGTTGTGAGAGATGAAGAATCAGGTGAATTTGTCATTGAAGCTGGGGCTTTAATGCTAGCTGACAATGTAAGTAGGCTTTATTTTTGATATAATCAGATAAGCAGAAGAATCTGTGAGTATGAATATACATATAGATTGTAACATAGGTATCAAAATATATTTTGTTCAATTGGCATGCAGAAACTTACTTATGTTTAATAATTACCATGATATTTTCAGAATACTCCATACAGTTAAGGTCAGAGTTGTGTCTTTAAATATGTACATCTGCAAAGTTCATCTTCTATAGTTATGGCAAACTTAAGAAAAGACATGAGAATTTTGAAACGCTTAGTAAAACTTTCTGTGATTTTATTGGTATATATATCCTTTTGCAAGATTTCTAAAATTAAACTGCCTACCAGCATTTTATCCCATAATTTACTTCATGTATGTTAGTGTGTTTCAGGTGCATTTGATTTTTTTGTGTAATAGGCAACTAGTGTCATTATTACAAATAGCTAATGAGCTATTTAATTTACTGTTTATTTGTTTTTAACCTTCAATCAAAATATTCCTTTAATAGAGTATAACTTATTTGGCAAGCAAGTCATAATAATGCTGGATCAGTAGTGTTAAGATCATGTACTCATTACCAGTGATATTTGAAAATACATTTAAAGTATCTTGATTTTATCTAAGATAAATCATAGCAGCAGAAACTCGGAAGTTGACTGTAGAAAGTCCATCCCTGTAACATCCAACTTGTTATTATTAAAACTTCCATTTAAAATCTAGCCTGCCTTAGTTTATTTCAGAGAAGAATTATCTAAAAAAATGAATTGTTTTTAAAGAAGATGAATATTCTTTTATTATATACAGTTTTTCAAGGATGAGATGTGTTCGTCAATCTAGATTGACATCATGGTAAAGTTCAGGTGTTAATTTTCTCTTTTTTCAGACATGTTATATTTTGATTTATACAGAATAAGTTTTTAGAAAGTTTTTCTTTAGTGGTTAATGTTCTGGGTCTTTTCCTGGTAAAACTAGAAAATCAAAATTTAGTGTTATTTTATTTAGAAGTTATTCTGGAATATCATCAGTAATTCATTGGTTAAAACTTCTTCATAAGAAGAGAAAACCTGAGCCCTTTGTAGTTCTTATTCTTGCCTTTTCTTCCCCTTGCTTCCCTACCAATATAGAAGTTGGATATTTAAATTGTTTTGTGCAGCATTATTTTCCAAATCCACTTTAATGTTCCAACTGCCAACAATTTAGCCATTATAAAACCTCTTGTCATTGTTTTCCTTCTTGTACTCATTGTGGTAGTATGTAGTTCTGAGTCTTCTGTGCATGTTTCAGGACATGCATCTTTCTTATTCTTAACGTTGGCCTATTTATGGAAGGATGAGAAATAAGTACAACTTCTGAAAATAGCAAATATATATTATATTACTCATGATTTAGCATGTAAACTAGTCACACTTGTCTTGAAACAGAAGTAAGCTTCTACTGTTTGAGGTACAGGCTTTTAAATCTGTGCCTCCATTTAAGTTTTTATTGTATGCTAGGACTCTTTTCTTTTGATGTTTTTGGACTATCTGACAGAGAATTCTACCTCCATCCTAAGATAATAAATAACACACGACGTTAAAATAGGTACACAATTAAAAACATTTTAATTAAGGCTAACCTATGACCACTAAAAAGTTGTCTCTACATGTTGCAACATTATCTTCAGGAGTGGGTTGCAAAACATAATCGTGTCTTATTTATACTTTTTTTTTGTTATTAAATAGGTCACATGACCTATGTACAGGTTTACAATTCCCACGTGAATGTTTTAGAGAAGGCCAACCAACATTTTTGCACAGATGTTCACTGGACCTTCATGTCTAGTTAATAATACATGACTGGAAGTACTGACTTCTCTTTAATGAAACCCCCTTGAGCCATCATTCTGCATCAGTTTTTATGGATGATGTGAAATAAAATTATTATGTGGGTTCTGCTTTGATTTGCTGCATCCTGCAACTCTGTTGTTGCTCAGGCACCCCCTCTACAAATTATGTGTTCACTTTTGGGTTATACGTACTCACAGTTGTTTTGGAGTGTACAAAAGCCAAGTGTTGTCCTAACTGTATAATTTATATTGACTAATTTAGCTGTTTGAAGACCCAAAATTGCTTATTATTGTTTTCGTCCAGTTTCTGTTTCCTGGCCATGTTGATACCTGAGGGAACAAGATTTTTGACACTGTAGCCAAAATGGCTTCTCACATAAGTAGCTATTCTTGTTCAGTGCTGCTCTCTGTATGCAAAAAAACATTTTGCATGCCACACAAGCCTTGAGCTCCTATGTACCCTTACAATCAACTGATTCAAATGTGTCTCACATGCAAATCATCATTCGACACATCTCCTGACACATATGACTCTATTTGATTCTACTGAACTATCACTTCTCATTTGGCAGTACTCGAGTCAAGATGTTTTTTTGTGTGTGTGTACTCTCGAATTTAATCAACTTCATGATTTTTTTTAGATATTATTCCAAAGTGGATTCTGTTATTTCTGTTCTTCAACAGTTAACGACTTTTCAGATAACTTATTTTCCCAGTTTTTAATTATTTTTTTCACCAAACACGTGTGTGTTTGATTTTCTGTTTTATATAATGAATTCCGAAGTTTAAGTTACCGCTTTGGATACCATACCTTCTACTAGCACACTTGCACAGGCTACAGGTGGGGGTGACTCATCTCTGGATTTATCAGCTATCATCCACCGTGAGATTGATCGTTATATGAGTCAGCCTACTTCTGCTGATCTTGCCCTTATTCCTCCTGAAGATGCTGAACCTGTTTGGGTCAGCGAGAATTTGGTCAGCCTTTTTCTGCCACCTGATTTTGCCGTGTCTTTCTATGCCCCTACTGCAGAATCAGTTGGGTCTAATATGGATTTTTCTGGTATGTTCTATTTTATCCATTTCTCTAATTTCATATGATCCCCCATCCTTCTTTGTTACATGATACCTCTTCCTCCTCTCAGTATTTGGTTTTCACCTCTTCCCCAAATATTAGGGTTCATGCTGAGCATTTTGTTTCTCATATGGTTGAAGGTGCCAGCATGCCTCACCCTCCACAAGCTTTGGATCAGTTTGCCTTGGCCTAACATCAGGCTGAATCTCTGTTTCTCGACTCTCAATGCTTAGAATCAAATTTGCCAGAGTGGTGGGCAGGCCCTGATCATCACGTTCGTTTATCCCACGCCCAATTTTCCCTCTTTAATCTTACCTTATTGATTCTTCTCCGGTACTTATCTACTATCCACCTCCTTTCTGAGGCAATCCACAGAGATCCTCAGGGTCTTTTGAGGGATTGCTTCTCCCTAATTACCTCTACATTGGCACGTTTGTTTTCAGCTCTAGCCCTACACACGTGATTTATCTGTTGTTGGGATCTTCTGGGGAGGGACACAACCTTGTCCCAGGTTCATTTACCACCTCCTTATTACCGGGACTTATGTATGGCCCCTTTTCTTTAGTAATATGTTTTTAATAATATTCTTGAGACTTTAGAATCCCGTGTAGAGTCAGTATGACAGTACACTACCTTTTCTTTTTTGGTGGATCATTTGTCACATTCTAAGCTTATACATGCCCCTGTTACTGTTTCCTGTCCATCTCCTTCTCAGCCTTTACCTGTTCCTCCCTCCAGGGGTTTCTCATCTCATTGTTTTATTTGACTCAGATGGACACATTGCCAACAGTACCAGTGACGACCCAGTGGATGCTCGCTTATCTGATTTTGTTCCTCTTTGGCAACCTTTCGCCACAGATCTGTGGGTTATTCAGGTTTTATCCGAGGGACTTGTCATATAATATCATCCTTCTCCAGGTTTTTATTCCAGGCTGTTTGTAGTACCCAAGAAAACTGGAGACTTGCGGCCTGTGATCGTTTTTTCTGCCTCAATCAACATTTGGTTCTACCTTAATTTACCATGCAGTGTTTTCTCACCCTCAGGTGAGCTTTTTCTCTGGGTTTGTGGATGACCAAGGTAGACATCGGGAATACTTACCTGCATATTCCAATATCTTCTCATTTGAGACATTATCTTCAGTTCGTTCATCACTTGGTAGTTTATCAAATTTGCACCCTGCCCTTTGGGCTTGCTTCAGCCCCATATGTCTTTTGTCGGATGGTCAAGGCATTCACCCAACATTTACATGCTCAAGGGTTGTTCTTCCATCAATACATGGATGACTGGCTTCTGTTAGCTCGTTCCAAACAGGAGTCCACTCATCACACTCATCGGCTGCTCTTGTGGGCTGGTTAATCAAATTGGAAAAGTCATTCCTTATACCTACCCAATATCTTGTCCATTTGGGTGTTTTTTCAACACTCATTTCAGTTGGGCCCAACCTTCTCCTCTTCGACTTTGTTTGATGGAGCTTTCAGTTCTCCGTGCATTTACTGCTCCCTCTCTTACAGCACATGATGTTCTGTTGCTTTTGTAGATGTGATCATCCATGAAAGCCCTTATCCCCTTAGGTTGAATACATATGTGATCTCTTCAGTGGACTCTGCACAACCAATGGAATATTGCACAGAATTCACTGGAGACTCCTATTTCCCTTTCTGCTTTCCTTGTAAATGATCTGCATTGGTGGTTGGACAAGGCTCACACATCGGTGGATGTGGTGTTCCTCTTCCTCCCCCTCTTCTGGATTTACATATTGCCACGGATGCTTTCCTTCAGGGCTAGGGGATGTGGATTGATCAGCAGGAAGCTTCAGGTCAGTGTCTCTGACCAAAAGATTTTGCCATATATCAACATCCTGTAACTTCTGACTGTACGCCAGGAATCATCTGATCATCATCCATTCCAACAATTCTACAGTTGTGGCTTATCTCAATCACCAAGGCAGCACATGTTCTCGTTTCCTTTGTGGTCAGACCTTGGATCTATTTTTTGGGCCCACATGCTCGGTATTTGTATCATGCATGTCATGTTCGGGGTGCATTCAATCTTGTTCCAGATTGGCTTTCCCTCTTAGACAAAGTTTGTCTGAGGGAGTGGTCTCTTGATCCTTGTTTTCCAGTGGCTGTGACTTCAGTGGAGTACTTCCCACCTGGATGCATTTGCCGTGTCTCTCAAATTACCTCTGTTTTGGTCTCCTGTTCCTCATCCTCTTGCTCTGGCTGTTGATGCTTTCAGTCAAGATTGGACCAACAAGTACCTGTGTGTTTATCTTCCCATCCATCTTCTTCACAGGGTGATCTCGATCATCCATACCACTCCATGTCAAGTCCTTCTGACTGCTCCTTACTGGCCGGCACATCCGTGGTTCCTACAACTGCTCCAGCTCCATTCTGCCCCTCCATTACCTCTTCCTCTTACTCCATCCCTTCTACATCAACCTCAGTCACCAGCCTTTCATATTTTTCGTCTTCACACCTGTTTTTTATCTGGTCTCTGGCAAGGAGATTTGGTTTGTCCTGAAGGTTAGCTCCTTTTTTACCTTGTTTCATTTGCCCTTTCTCTAGGGATGTTTATCAACGTAAGTAGAACATTTTCTGCTGTTGGTCTTTGGGACAGGGGTTTTCACCCACTAGGCCCATGGTTCCTCATATTACTGATTTCCTCACTTGGTCCTTTGATCAGGGGTCTTCTGTCTCCTCGATCATGAGTTATCAGGCTGCCTTATCCCACACTTTTCGTTTTCTCAGTACCATAAAGATTTTACCTCTCCTACCCTTTCCCTCTTGTTGTGTTCCTTTTGGATCAGTTATTTACTTCAGTGTGCTGTACTTCCAGATTGGGATGTTAATGAGGTTCTTCACTGCCTCACTTTGCCTCCATTTGAACTGCCATCCCTGTGCTTAATTTTCCACTTATCCCTTCCGTTCATTTCCCACCTTTATCCTCGGTTGGATCCAGATAGGCTGCTATTACCTGTACGGCTTCCTTCCTTTGTGCCTGTTCCCACCTATTCATTCCTTGGCAGACATCCTCGGTTTGTGACCCTTCTCCTTCCACCCTGACCAGTTGGGTTTGTCTTTTAATTCAATTGGGTTATTCTTCCTTATCATCTTTTTTCCGTACTTTGTTCCAGGTGTCTTCTCATCAGATCAGGTACCTTCCCTTTTCTCTGGCATTTCATCTCCATTGTCCCTTGGAGGAAATTTTTCATTCAAGCATATGGACTTACTCCACATATGTTCATATCTCACTATCTGCATCAGATTGCTGTATCTTCATCTTCAAGTTATTGTCTTCCACCTGTAGCCATTCTTCAGACTTCAATGAGACTGTGACTGGGTAAGTTGTCTTTTATATCTATATCTCTTCTTTTTCCTTTCTTTCTTTTTTTACACTCTCTGGATCCTGCTCTGGGGCACGTAGTGCCTGATCAAGTATACTTAAAAATAATGAAATCTGCATAAGGCCATGATGACTTAACAATTATAATTTCCATGACCACTATACACACACACTGCTGAGATGGGGTGTTCCACAAGATCACTTATGGGTTTGTCCTCACGATATATTTGCTTCATTAGTAAACCCGTCTCGGACCGTATTCACCCATGGATTTCATGGGTAAAGCAGATGGGGATAGCTGCCCAACCCTGCCATACCTTAGATTGAATAAATCAGGTGTGGTCTGCTTTTCAAAATAAGGTTTTCTTGTGGTCACCCGTTGCACTGTCTCAAGTGTTGTCGTTACTCCAGACTCTCCACTGCAATTTCTCCACTCTTTTTGTTCAAGTGGAGTATGGGAATCATTAGCAATTTACAGTTCCAGCTGCTGGGGTGGTGGACCATGGAGGCATTCTCCTGAATGTGATAATGATATAATATACATATAATGATAAAACCATTCAGTTGAGAGTAGGGCAGTGGTGTTCTCCTGGTGTGGGTGACGAGATATCATCCACTTCATCCTACCCCCCACATGGATGTCAGTTCCTAGTGGTTGGGCTTTGGATTTAGAGCTGAACCAATCAACACAAGTCCTCACACATGTATTACAGGCATCTCTATTTCCTCACTCAATTATACTGTTGTTCATACAATTGTGTTGTAGGTCACGATGGGGTACTTGCAGATTAATATGGTTCTTCCTCTTATGCTATCCCTCTGATTTTATTATACCAAAGATATTATTGCACTATGGACAGTTATTGTCAGTTTATTTTTGAGTGAGATGGTTTGCATTAAAAAAACATATTTACAATACTGGAAGTCAAGTTCCCGGATCGGTCATTCAATGTCTCACATTGTTATCATGTGTCTTGTTCATAGATCTGGGTGTACAAGATTCCATCTGGTCTGATGAACTTGAGGTGAAGATGGTATGATCCTCATTCCTACCCCCATCAGATGGCTGGGTTTTGGATTGTAGTTGACTTGCTGCTGGTATGATCATCTTTCCTATCCCCACACAGATGTGGGTTCCCAGTGGATGGGTTTTGGATTGTAGTTGAATTACCAATGGTATGATCCTCATCCTGTGTTTTGGATGTAGTTAACTTGCCATGTATGGTCTGTCTTGCCTTAACCCCTCTACACCTGGAGGCGCATCCTTTGACTCTCACCCACATTGGTGTACTCAAAGGGATTGAGATTCCAATATCGCATGGTTTGGATTCCTAACCAACCATTGTTCTCTCCCCTTTTCTGCCCATGTCTGCGACACCTCTTTCCACACTGGGCAAAGAGTATACCTGGTTCAGGAGTAGTGCTGTCTCCCATGTATAATACTCTACTTCAAGATCTACTCTTTTAGGGTGTCCTTTGGATGCTTTTGAATGATGCTTCTTTCTTTTCCTCGCACAGGTCCCTCCACAAATTCAGTGTGGAATTCTAGTTATTTATGTAAATGGAGGTAATGTACCGTATCAGAGGTTATAATTTTCCTATACTGAAAATATATTTCCGATAGGTACTTACCTCCTGTCACACTTCCCACCCTTCCTTCCCACTGAAAACCTGTGCTTCCATTTTGTGCCTAAACTCAAAGTGATAGTTTGGTAGAATCAAATAGAGGGAGTCGCATGCAGCAGGAGAGTATGTTGCACTCTTAATGGTGGAGGATTGTCGTATGATGATTTGCATGCAAGACACATTTGAATCAATCGATTGTAAAGTACATGGGATCTCAAGACTTGTGGCATGTGAAAAAAAAGAAAAAAATTGAATATAAAGGGCAGCACTGAACAACAATAGCTATTTATGTGAGAAGGGGTAAGTACCTATCTGAAATATGATTTCAGTAGAGGAAAATTATAACTTCAAGTCAAGGCATCATGGCAGTTAACAGGCAACAAGCTTTTCCAGCTCAAACTTACCAATATTAATTGGCCACCTAGTTTATGTAGTATTAAGCAGAAGGAAGTTGTCCTGACATGATTTTGACTTGTTTTTTCCACCAAAGGGGCAACTTGCCAATGTGTGTGAAGTATAACACTCAAGTTTTGTTTCATGCTGTTGCTGTTGACTTTCAGTGACAGCATTATCTTCAGACATAATTTAAATCATGGTGTCACTTTGACATAATGTAGAGTTATTGAAATTATGACACTCTCCAGATTTATATTTTTAATTTTTTTAGGACTTTTTAACTCGTTACTATTTTAAGCTTATACATTCCTTCAAGTTTTGTCTTTCAACTTACAGAATTGCCATTTACTTTTAAATAATATTGTTATACTGCTTTTTTAGATAACAAAGAATACAGTTGTTTAGCATAGGTAGCCTATTTAACTTAGTGCCAAAAACCATCAAATCTATAAAACTAGTGGTTTTAAACTCTTGCATAACTTTTATATGGAAGAACTTTTTAAGCAGTGTATTAATACTGATATGGTTGCAACCCTACTTACTTTGTGCATAATCATTGCTAACAGTGTTTATATCAATTCACAATTGTCAGTTGAATTTTCTGTTTCAATAGGGTGTGTGTTGTATTGATGAATTTGACAAAATGGAACAGAGAGACCAAGTTGCTATTCATGAAGCTATGGAACAACAGACAATCTCCATTACAAAGGCAGGAGTTAAAGTAAGTGAAAGTAGGGAGTAATAGGTAACAAAAGTTAAGCAGAGGAAAAATAATTTTCCATCATTTACTAGGAAGCATTTAGAATTACTAGTTTATTCTTTTGAAACATGTATGTTGATAAATGGTTGTTACAACAAGGAAAATTTTGATAATGCTTTATTGTAAACCTACAAGTAGAAAATTTAAGCGATGTGGGGGGGGGGGGCATTTAACCCAATACTTTTTTTTTTCTTGCACTTTTAAATATTGTTTGGAGTAAGAACAACTTTCTGTAACTTTTTCAGATCACTTTTTATTGTAGCTACTTTTTAAGATATGTAATACATCAAATTATTTTGTGAGAGCAATTATTTCCAAGTAATAAAACATTTTACTGATATTTACTGACTGAGATAATTTTGAGATTTTGTTTTTTGATACTTCTAGTAGCAGGAGACAACTTTTACATCATCTCACTGATTATTTTATGTTTGTATATTTTTTTTAGGCTACTCTAAATGCCAGAACATCTATACTTGCTGCAGCAAACCCTGTAGGTGGACGTTATGATCGAACAAAATCTCTAAAACAGAATATTAGTCTTTCAGCACCAATAATGTCTCGTTTTGATCTCTTCTTCATTTTGATCGATGAGTGTAATGAGGTAATGGTTTCTCATACAGTGCAGGTTGTTTTGTTTTATTAGATAATGAGTTCCATTATTGAATGAAACGCAAACACTTTCGGGAGACAAAAGAGAGATGTGAAATAGTATTATTAAACATCTGATTTTAAATTCATAATGGACAACTTATGAAGAATGTGAAAAATTAATCTACAGTGTAACACAGTTTTTAATTTTGTTTTATTCAAATGAATGCCTGTTATTCTAGTTTTAAGTAATAAAAGTATGTATGCAATATTTTTGATAAATTTTTTTTTTTTTTTGTAGATGTAAATTATGGTCCTTTTTGTTTTATATAAGAGTTCATATTTTTCATATTCATATTACAGGGGTTCTTTGTTTTTAATGTGTTTGTTATTTTTGATATATGTTTATACACACATTCCTTATTTAATTTTTGTTGTGTTTGTAAGGCTTTTTGAGTTTTAACATTTCTTCACTTCATTTGCAATCTATCCTGTATGGTAAGAGTTTAAATATATTTTTGTTGTTAGTCATATGTGAAATTTTTTTGCTATTTTGTATATATGTGTGAATGAGTAAATTTCTCAAGTTCACTTTCTAACTTTCATTGAATTATTTGGTGGTATATTTTAACAAACTTCTCATAGTACTTAAAACAGCATTTTCTTTTAATTCTAAACTTTTAATCACAAAGAAATTTGTTTTCAGGTAACTGATTATGCTATAGCTCGTCGCATTGTGGACTTACACACCAATAATGAATTATCTATAGATAGAGTATATACAGTGGAAGAGATTCAGCGTTACATGACGTTTGCTCGACAGTTTAAACCAAAGGTAGTAGCTTTTGAGTTTAAGTGCTTGTTATTATATATGTAGTATTTTTATACAAATAAAATCTATTATAGACAATATTTTGTATTGATATGTATCTATTGTGTTTGTGAAAAATATACATAATTTGCTGTTTCATTTATTATATAAATAAATATTTGACTGAACTGCAGATCACATTTGCAGGGAATAATAAAGTTATTTGTTTGTACGGTCATACTTATAGCTTCATATGAAAATAAAGATACTCTTTTAAAAACAAACTTTTTTGTTAATTTGTTTATCGTAATATACAGGTTTCTCCTGTTCCAATCCTTCAGTTTTGTTTTTGTCCTTATTTTCTCTCATTAACTCTGTTTTATAAGAATTGTGTAATGAAGATTTTGACAATCAGTTAAACATAGATATACACTACTGAAAAAAAGTGAAGGAGCAAACATTTAATATCATCTGAAATATAACACTTGAATGCAATTCCAAAAGTCTTTGTCATTTAGTTATGTGGATGTTTCAAGTGTCCTGTTATAAGAATGCACTACTGGCAGATGGTAGTTTTTGATAGAGTTATGGATGTTCAAAGCTACTCAAACATGCTACAAAAATGTTTTGTACACCAGATGGTTAGGAAGGATGATAGATCAGTTATTAATGTCATGAACTTCAGAACAGCATATGGAGTGATTGTTAATAACCAGATTTTGGCCTAAGTTCAAGAACATTACTACAGTTGATTGCATAGCTTTTTGAACTTCTGTCAAAATCGAGACCATGAGAAGGTCATTTGGCTGAACCTTTGATCACCGTATTTTTTCTTGACACTGATTTCTAACTAATTTGTTCTGTTCTCAGTTTTTATATGATGTACCATGAAATATTTGAAAATTATAATTTTACTTAAATGCAGAGTTCCGTGTAACTGAATACAGGAAGAAAGGTATCTTGGCAATGTATGTGTCTGAACGTGGTTCAGTTCCTGAAATTGAATCTCAAATTCTTCAACAAACTATTTGCAAATAAGATGGCCATAGGTAACTAATAATAATTAAAAAGCAAAGAAACATGGTGAAATTTTATGCTTGTAATTTGAGATCTATGCATGAGTAAAGTGTATTAATGTTAAAAATATACAAAGTAATGTCTTTGTTTGTCATATATATATATATGTGTGTATAGTGTACAATATGTATATTTTCAAGTGAATATCTTGAAATTAAGTGAAAAGGAAGATTGCTGCTCACTTCAAGTATTACTCAAATTATTCAGTAACTGGAAAGCTTTTGTGTGTGTGATTGTTGGAATGCTCACATAGTGTAGTTTGGTGTGTCCATTACACTGCACTGTTTGCATTTATAGAATAGTGATCAAAGGCTTCATAAACTTGTGTAATTATCATAGCTTGTTTTTGCAAGGACTTCTTCTTGTAGTCAAAGTTTATAATCAGTATTGTTGAGAACTCAAAGATAAATTAGACTTGTAGCATAATGTTGGTCTTTATTTTTCACAGATTAATAAGGATTCTGAAGAGTACTTAGTGGAACAGTATCGACACCTGAGACAAAGAGACACAGCTGGTCTATCAAAGTCTTCCTGGAGAATCACTGTAAGGCAGTTAGAGAGTATGATCCGACTCTCTGAAGCTATGGCTCGAATGCACTGTTCTGATGTGGTAATAATTATGGTTTTTGGCTAAGTTAAGCTTTGTTATTGTTCTTCTAAAAATAAAAAAACGTTTTTTAGGGTTTGTAAGTGTATGGAGAATCTAAGAAGTCCTATATGATCTTTAAACCTGGAAAATTCTTGTATTCATATGTGTTAGAACTGGAAGTGTGTCAGAAAAGTCACTAAAATATTTTTTCATTTTCTTTTTAACTTTCTTTATAATTCATATAAATTTACCTTTGGTTTTTTGCTTAGTTTTGTTAAAACTCACAAAGTTTCTGATGAAATGTTAATGTAATAATTGAACAAACATCAAGCATTATGGTGTACAATGTTTAATCTGGGGAAGCATGATTCATTAATAGGTATTGTGGTTGAAGTTCAAATAATCTTCTTATATTAAGTAGGTAAAGAATAGTGTTCCTAATATTAGTTTTTTATTGTGACATCTAGCATTTCATATACCACTTATTAACAAGTACTTCATCAGTGTACTTGGAATAAGTTATAAAGCTTAACATATTATGTTCTAGCATTGTAAATTATATTTCTTCAAGTTTAATTAGAAAGTGTAAACAAAGAATGTTGAAAAAAGCAGGGGTATAGCCAGAGGCTTTGAATGATCACTTCAGTATTCTAAAAAGTCAACTAATATCTGATTTTTTAAAAAATAAATACTTGACTTTCGTGTAAATCTCTTAAATTCTTTGAGTAGAAGAAAAAGGTCCACTTTTTTTGGAAAAAGATTTCTCCACTCTCTAGTGCTAGCTGTGCTTCTGAAAAATATGTGGGTTTCTCTTTTAATCACATTTTTGGTAAATTAAGACATTTACTAAAGCTTCATAGTAAGATACATTTATGCTAAAATCTCTGTCAAAGGGTGTAAGATGTCTTAAACATATATACAATATGTTAAACACTTGTAACCAATGTTACAAAAAACCATCTGAAAACCCTTAGCCTTATACAGTATGGTTGAGAAAGTCCACAAATTTTTCATATCAACTGATACTTTTTGTTGTTATGATTAACAAAACAACCATTCTGCTTGTTTGCCTTGACATAACAAGATTATATTAAACAGCTATCATTTTCCAAAACAATAACTTATTGTATCAGTTAAGTTGTACTGACTGACTGACCTTACAATTCCTGTGCTGTTTTTCTAAACGACATATGTACTCTGTATATGCAGTTTTTATATTCATAGAAAAAACTAGTGTCCAGAAATATTGTACTAAATAATAAATTTCTTCTTAAATGGGGGCCTGGCATGAACTGATGATTATGGAGCTTGACTTATAACCTGCATGTCGTGGGTTCAAATCCTATCACTGAACATGCTTGCCCTTTCAGCCATGTGGGCTTTATAATGTGATGATCGATCCTAATTTTCATTGGTAAATAGTAGCCCAAGAGTTGGTGGTTGGTGGAGTTGATTATTTGCCTTCCCTCTAGTTTATCACTTCTAAATTAGGGATGGCTAATGCAAATAGCCCTGAAGTAGCTTTGCATGAAATTCAATAAACAAACAAATTTTCATAAATGTTAGTTATACTAGAAAAGTAGATCTATGTTTAGACCTATAAAAACTGTTTGAAACTGGCATTTCAACTAAATTGAACAAAAATTTTAAACTTAATTTTGATGACAAATTTGAGAAAATTATTTTTCTAAAGATATCTCATTCAGCACTAGCTACTGTAATCATGTCAGGATGATTGTACATAGATAGCAAAGTTTAGTACTTTGTCCATTGTAGTAGGATTTACAGACTTAGAAAAATATTTTGTACATTTGAAATTTATACATTTTTCAAATTCAAATTTGTGTGTTTAGAAACAATTACTTAGAATCCATCCATCCTAAAGGTACATCCAAAGCATGCTAAAGAAGCTTTTAGACTTTTGAACAAGTCTATTATACGAGTTGAACAGCCTGATATACACCTGTATGAAGAACATGATGATGATGGGCAAGTAGATGAAAATGGTGTCAATGGTTAGTACTATATTTAAGTGGTTACTCAAATTTTTATTTCCTTAAAAAAATATGTATGTACTAAGACTAAACATTTCCATAAATTATACAGTTTATTGTTCATTTTCATTTTGGTGTATGGAAATCAGATAAACTATACACTGCTTTTTTTAAACAAACATTTAAAATTGTGTTTAAACAATATTGAAAAATATTAGTGCTTAACTATTTTTTGTAAAAGTTAAATTTGTTACATAGAAATTGGTGTTTCACAGAAAACTGATTCACTGTACACTCATTTTTAGGTTTTTTTGTACACAGTGCATTCTTGTTTTCTTGTTACAATATTGATTTATTAATAACAATGCATTGTTTTAAAATGTTATGGAAACAATTTTCAAAGGAGATTGTTACTTTTATGAAGTTTCTATATATAATTCTGCTATATATTATTTCTTTGTTATGAAAATTATAATAACTCCTTCACCTGCACTATTTTAGTAATGAAGGTCTGTGAACCAAAAATTTTATTAGATTTTATTTTCTTTTTTCATTAGCTTTTATTTTAAAATAAATCATTATCAGTAACAATTTTAATGATATAAATTCTAACATAAGATATAATCACTTTGGAAATTAACTCCTGAAAGAGTTTCGATGTTGAAACACCAATAATTTTGGAAATGAGTAATGATCATAAATTTAAAGCATTGAATTAGAAACTGTGTAAAGAAAAAGAGAAACACCTTTTACACTTGCATTGTAATATCTGGTTAGTTTAACTTTGAATGCTCTTTTTTGGCTTAAAACACATGCTAAGCTTAGACCTGATACATTTGCCAGGAATTGTAAATGGTGATATTCAGGAAACTGTAGAGGATATTGATGCAGAAAAGGAGATGCAACCACAGAAAAAGGGACTAAAGCTATCATACGAACAGTACAAAGCTATGTCAAACATGTTAATCATGCATCTACGGCGAGAGGAGACAAGAATTGAAGGTTAGTGAAAAAAACTTCTTTGAATGAACCTTAATAATATATTCACAAATATTGAATTAACTGATTCACGTGTTAGAATGAGGTATTTCAAAGAGGCAATTTCTTAAATGTTACTTTTTTATTTTAAAAATAACATTGTTATAAGCAACTTTTAGGCTATCATCATCATTAACAAGAACTTTTATTCAATACCAGATCTTAGCATATTCATTTTGATTTAGTAGTCATTACACATATGGAAAATATTGTTCACAACTTAATCTAAATGTTTAGAACTAGGTCTTTAAATGTTTTTAACAGTGAAAATTTCCTAATGAGGATTTGAATTCTTTTCTCTGTTGCTGGGCAGCTGTTGAAATTAATAGTTTCTAGATCTTGTTTCCCATGTTTATAACTATATCACATGAGATCCAGTATTGTGGGCGGTTAAAATACTTGTCCATTAAAAAGGAATGTATGTTTAAATTCCACACAATATCACTAATAATTCAGAATAATTTATTTTCAGGCACATTATACTACTATATTAAGAGTAAAAATCACAAAAACTGACGTTTTTTTGCCTAACTACAAAATACTGTAGTTTCTTCATAGTTTCATCTGTTACTCACTATATTAGCAATGTTGCTGTTTAAGTATACTAGACTACATATAAAATTATAATTTGCCAACAAAAAAATGTGTATTCAGTAAACACTTCTTGGTTTTAACTCACCAAATTGTGACAAATTCTTTTACACCTAAAATGTATTTTTGTATCATTATAGTATGGTTATTCTTGCATGTTTTATGTGTTATTTTTGTCACATAATTCACCAAAAGTACTCTAAAGGTATACACTTAATCCCATTATGAAAATTCATATTTTGTTTTTATAAAAGTAGATAATTTAATAAAAACTTTATATGTCATGGTGCACTTTATATTTATTTACCATTCTGTAATTCTATGGAAAGAGATGTGCATCATAGAAAAAACTGTAATTTGTGTGTGGCAATTAACATGAAAAATTATGCTGTTTTTTTAATAATGAGATTGTATAGGTGTATGATTGTCTAAAGTATTGTATTTAACTTGTATTAAATAGAAGAGGATGGTGAAGGGTACAGAAGAACAGATCTTGTAAACTGGTACCTTAAAGAAATTGAAAGTGATATAGAAAATGAGCAAGAACTGTGTGAAAAGAAGACCTTGGTTGAAAAAGTCATTGACAGACTTACTTTCCATGTGAGTTTCTGTTTAGATAGTGACTGTGTAGTTAACAAAAGCAACAGGTACTAACTATAATGACTAACAAAAAGCCTTGAACTGTTATAAACGTTTTAAAATTTCATGAGTTTTTGGGGGGAGGAAACTGTCAAAAGCCTATCCTAAAACTAAGTAGCTTATTAATGTTTTAAAGTTTGGTTAGTCCTTCACAAGTTATGCATGTCTCATATTCTAAATAATAAGAATATCAAAAAAATAGTTCCATATTGTTCAAAAGCATTTTCTGTTCGACCTGTCTGGAGCTTTTGTTAAGACAAGTACAAAGTCTTTCCTAGCTCTTCAAAATAAATTGTGCATAGTGTGTAACTCAATTAAAATATGTCTTCTTTTTTTTTTTATAAGAGGTAGTACATTATATTACTGAGTAGGGAATCAAATCACAAGTAATATTTATTTACAGTTGTGACAGACATTCATTTTATATTTTGCACAATATTTTTCTTTAATAAACTTTAAAATGCTTTCCTATGACTCTTCAGGTTAATGTGTTGTATTGTCATTTTATTTAGTTTTATTTGTGTCTAAGTTTTTAATGGAAAAATTCTTAAATTAATCTTGTAGAGTACAGTATCATGAACCATTGTCGTGGTTCATCATAAGGATTGCACAGGAATTTGCTCAAAACTCTGATAGAACATTCAGGCAAAAAACACCTCAGAAAGCAGTCTTATTCTTGAAACGACACTCAAAGCTTTCCTTTTCAATAGTTAAGGCCATTAAAACATTTATAATAAGCATAAGTGATTTCACCATTGTTAGACAAAATCAGAATTTGCCCTTCACCTTATTATTTACCAGCAAAAAAATGACATATAACTGTAACGTGAATCTAAACTTTTCTTCAAGAATTGGTCCTTCTACAGCCAGCAACGGAACAATAATCATGGCATATCATTATTCATTCATATCAGTCGAATTAATTATTATCAGATTACCTTTTGACAAAAGTGAATGTTTTGATGTAAAATATGTTAATCAGTTAAAATGGCATTTCATGTAAACAAGATGAGCATGTGATTATAATGGTTCATTAATGAACTTGCCAAATTTACAATAAATATTTATCCTTGTACCCCTTCATGATTATGACCATAATGATAATAGGAGCTACAAATCTTGTGTATGTGTGTGTGTGTACATGTTCTAACCAAAGCATTTTAAAATGCTAAAAGTTTTACCATAAGTACAAAAATGGTCCAGATAAATTTAAGTACAAAATTTAGTTTTGTTTTTAGTTCATAGTCATGACAACTAACCATATTTGATAAAATTAGAACATGTTCTCTATTTAAATCAGTCTCATATTTGAATAGTTTCAAGGAGGTAAATGTTTTTATTATTTTTATAGTGTTGCATACTTCAGTAATATATAATTTTACTTCACAAGAGGATGTAATACTAGCATCAACAGAAATGTTTTATCAACTTTATTGTTCTTAATTATGTATTGTTAAATAGCAGGTTTGGTACATTCAAGCATGATATAGATGCAGGACACTTATGGGCACTAAAGTTATGTCCATTGTGATTAACTTCACAGGAAATGGTATTAAATAACATACATTCACATTGAAAAATTCACATCTGCTCCAATATAATTTTATCTCTCTCTTTAGTAACATAGAAGGTTATATATAAAGGTAAGATCTGTTCTTACTTGTATGTAGGTTTTACTTCTTCAGTTACCTGTACAACATTATTATAGTTTCAGGGCATTTGGCTTTTCTCTAGTTTATTTTTTTACATGAGGTGCATTGCAATTATACAAGACCCATTTTTTCTTTAAGGTCCAAATTTATATCAAAATGTATTAAAAGTGTTTATTATTAAAACATAAATATATGGAATTTCTTTTTAAAATCTCTTACCTTTAGGACCAGGTAATCATTCCATTGTCTAAAGTTGGCCTGAAGGGTGAGGAAGAAATGGAAGATGATGACCGAATTCTTGTTGTGCATCCAAACTATGTTCCTGAAGATTTTTAGTTGTAAAAAATCTACACACACACACACACACACATGTATATATATATATTTTTTTAACCTTCAGAACAGAAGTCTTTGAATTTTTTTGTGCTATAACCTAATGTAAAACCATTTAACAGTTGTTAATGCGATTGTGATCAGTTATATTTGTTGTCATAAGACAGTAGTATTAGGCTTATTGTAGTATTAAAAATACTATTGTCTTATGAAAAATATAACTGCTTAAAACCACTTCAAAATTTTCCTTCATTAGCTATTTTTATACATCTATTGAAAGATTAAAATGACAACTTTATATAATATAGTACATCTGTATTTCATATGTTTAAAAATAATTCAAACGTTTATAGCCTTTTAATCTATTTATGTTCTTTTTATTATGGGAAATTAATTTTTCCAATTCATTAATCACATATTAATTTTGTTGAGTAAAAATACTAAAAATAGGACTAATTATTATATAAACCCCTGAAACCAAAAAACAATTTTCAAGCCTGTTTCGATTTCTTTAATAATATTATGTCTGTTGCTTTTTGAAAGTACTGAACTTTTTGTTTTTTTTTAACATGGATATGTCTTAGTTATTTAGAGAAATTGAGATGTAAGTTACTTGTAAATATCACCCCATAACTGTATTAGATTAAATGGTATTATAATTTTGAATCAGTTTTGTTGGCAGATTACGTTTTAGTTACACAAAGATACATGGAGTAAAGTAACCTTCAATACTATCTAAAAATTTTAAAATCTTGATGATCCGTCTAAATACTGGAATAAAAGAGATTCTACACAGTCAAATTTAGTTGTAAAAAACATTGTGCAAGCTTAACAATGAACTAAAAATTTCAAATTTTGAAGGAGAGGAAAAGAAATTTCAAATTTTAGGTAATCAAATAAAGGCAGTAGAAAGTTCAGTTTGTTTTTCTTTAGTACTAAAATCACAGAACATTTATTTTTTTTAAAAGTTACATAAGATAAAGATAGAATTTTTGTAAAAATAAGAAATTGTTTGGAAACTGAGCATTGGAATATTAATAATAAACTCAGATTATGATATTCATGTTATTGCTATATTCTTTAAATTCACCTGATACTTAAAATTATTAAAGTTTTCATGTTGCCCACTGTTGTTTTTAATAGTAAGTATCAATCCATTTTTAAAGTGTCAAGTGTGTAGAAAAACACCACACTCAGTCACTTATATGGAAAGGAGTTAAGGTAACACTATCAGTTTATAATTTTGAGATTTTGTGGTAAATAATTAACATTAAATTATACAACTCAGTCTTATATAATTAGACTATCAAAAAACTCTACCAATGAAGTTTTTATTTTTTTCATTTTACCAAATAAGTTTCAAGTATTAAACATTGAAAAAAAATTATAAAACAAAATGTGTAAAAAAAAGAAATTCACTAACAATATGAAAGCCTGTTCTAATAAAATTAAATTTACATAAATGAAAAGATTTTCTTAGTAATGACACTATAAAATATTATATATAACTAGAAATTTCTGAGACACAGTTGTAACTTTTTGTTTGTTTTTAAAAGACTATCTGTACAAGCCTATATCAACAAAGTATTTTTGTGGAACTTTCGTATCACCTAAATGAAAGAGCAGATTACCCATTGTGTAGTTTTGTACTTAAACAGTCTCTCACCTGAAGTTTGATATGTCTGCTTTCTATTTACCATGTCTATCCTTCATTAGAACTTCATGCCGTCAGTAAATCTGTGTTTTAGTGCAAAAGTTTATTCTTTATTACACCTAGGATCATATATTATACTGTGTCTATTCATTATAGTACTTCAACTCATCTTTATGTAAATTGTAGAAATTGACAGTATTTTCACAAGTAGAGCAAACATTGGGACTCACTTTAAAGGTTTTTCAAGAAACTAATCCATTGGATAATAATGATTTTTAATCACATATTTAGGAATTTCAGTGAGTTGTTGTGTCTTGGGTAGTTTATAAATAATGAAATTCATGTTCAGATGTCTACAGTTTTTTTTTTCTATGTCATGTTCTACAAAAAGAAACCACACAGTAGCTTCTGTTATTATTTAATTCAGTCTGTCATTGCACAGCATTGTGTCCTTATAGTTTTTTGTCACTTTGCTTTCTGTTTATTTAGTTCTTTGAAATTTATAAGTTTGATAAAAGTTTATCTTCTTGAAAATTATTACACTTTTGGGACAAAATATGTCACTGGTGAGACAACTGTCCCAAAAGTATATAATTTAAGAATTTTTTGTAAACTAAGGCTATTCTTTTTTGTTTTTAAACTATGAATCAATAACATCAATTGGATTTGCTGTTATTAGAAATTGGAAGATTTGAAGGATTTATTATTTCACATAGTTTTAGTCAATACCAATTCAATATAAATGATTATCTTTTTATAAGAATATTTTTGTCATACTTACATCTATTGATACTGATAATCACTCTACTTTTTTCAAATTGTCTCATGTTATGTGAGCTGAATATATTACTTGCCTCAACATTAACATTTAACCCTCGTAAGACTGTATCCTATCCACCTCAACCAAGTCTTTCATTTTTTTCATAAGACTGTCCTTTAGTTATATCACTGTTCCTTTATAGAAGCATTATTCGTTTATAAATCAATTACAATTCTTTTGTGAAAATATCTGAACACTTTGGAGATCTGAATGTTCTTTAGATTTTATCATGCTTTTGATCTTTATTGCTTTGTTGTTGTTTTTTCCTGGTATTGTTCCTTTTATATTTATTTACATCATTACTGAATTAAGTCCCCCCCCCCCCCCCCAGCGGACTTACAATGCTATAAACCAGGTTTCGATACCCGTGGTGGGCAGAGAACAGATAGCCCATTGTGTAGCTTTGTGCTTAATTTCAAACAAACAAGCAAGTCGAACACTCAGTGCCCCCCAGTGGCACAGCAGTATGTCTGTGGACTTACAATGCTAGAAACCGGGTTTTGATACTCGTGGTGGGCATAGCACAGATAGCCCATTGTGTAGCTTTGTGCTTATTTACAAACAATACTGAATTAATTATATATGGTTATATCAACATTGGTTTACCAGTTTGTCAGCATTATATGTATTGGTCATACTTTGTATGTATAATACTACCTATATAACTTGCTATTCACCAACATACAGAAAGTAGTGAATTCTTTATTAGAACATCAAGGCACATCAATTACACTTTATCAGAATTTCAACTTTGGTTCTCATGCCAAGCCTAGATTTTTAGGGGTACTCATGTCTGAATTAGAAATGATCATGATTTCATGGTAACAATGCTTCAGTTACTTTAAGACTTCATTTTTTACACCAAATATGCAATAGGTTTAATTTAAAAAAATAATATTAATAATCTTTACTATATAAGTTTTATGAGCAGCATACTATAGAACATGGGTGGGCAACCAAATTTTTTTCCTGGCCATGGATGTGGCCAGTTGATCACAGAAATGGCCACACTATTAATAACACTGAAAATTTTCAGTAAATAAATTTATTTCAGGATCTATAAATGCAAAAGTACAAAAAAAAATACTTTTTAAAAATTATAAAAGCATGAAATTTCAATGAGAGATTTGGCATTCTTTTTCTCTGACCAGCTAAAAAACTCTATCGATGATTCTACAAGTTGTCCATACATTTTGGTGAAATGGGCTGCCCACAGAGGCTTTAGAACTTACCATGTTTGCATTAGGTAGTATGATATGGCTGTTTTTTTTGAGTTAGGACAAAGTCAGATGTACATGCAATATAGGCTTTAAGAATCTTCATATGTATTTGTATCACTTATGCTTTATTTTTTGCATAAAACTGTAAAGATTGGCAGTAATAGTGGTTTTAGTTAGGTAATAGAATATACTAATGTAGTATGGTGAAACAATGATTAACCAACTTTGAAACTTTCTAGCATGAAGAACCACAATGAAAGTTTCAGTGTGATCGCCAAGCTCTCGTACATTCTGTGATATTTTGTTGAATCAAATATCTATATTACATCACTTCAGTTACATAAATGGACTAATTTTTGAAAGTATAGAGTCAAGAAGACTTACATCATGAAATGTTAACATTTTTCTTACACTGAAAATGTATTTCTGATAGGTAATTAGTTTCTTTCACCCAAAGCTATCTTGATCCTGGACTGCCCTCTAAGCATTGCTAAAATTTTTCACAAACAGTGCACCAGTCTTTTATACTCCATCAGTTTCATATCATTTCAGAGCATGTGACTACCCTCCTCCGATCATACTGTGCCCTCTATACTTGCACAGCTAGCTCTTTCTATCGTTCTAGAGTAATCCTCTATTTCAAGAATTGGCAGGTACAAACTAGAAACACCAGCATATCGGTGCATAAGAGGAGATAAGTATCTATCAGAAATACATTTTCAGTGTAAGAAAATGTTAACTTCCAAAAACAGTCATACCTCCTTTCACCCAAAGTTAAAATTCCACATTGCAAAGGGCCGGTGAAGGTGCATCAACATTCAGTTGGGTGGAAGGTGACCACACTGAAAAAAGTGTGAAAAATATGAAAAGAAAGCACACCTGTGGGCATAGCACTACTTCTTCAACAGGTATGCTCTTTGCCCAGTAATCAATGCAGGAACAAAAAGGGGGTGGAACTGAATTGGCAGGCATCAAATTCAGAAAAGATATGTACAGCCTCGAATCAGTGAAAAAAGTGCTGTAGAACTATGACATGAAACTACACGGCATTAACAAACATGGAAAGTTTAGTGTGGAAGCAATAATGGGCTTGTATAAGCATGTGCCTTGAGTTACATCAGAGTTTGGTTTGTCAAGTGCAGTCCATCTGGACAAAACATCCATTGGAAATGCCTTGTATAAGATATTGAGATCAAAAAGTGTGATCCTCTCACACAAAAAAAACATTCAGTGGCAATGCCTTGCATAAGATATAAGAGATCCAACAGCCAGGGGGAAGCACCTTTGATACATATGATAAAACCAAGTGCAGTCTGCCCATACAAAAAACATCAAAGGGAAGTACCTTGGAGTACATCAGACTATGCCAAGTGTGGTCTGCCCAGGCAACAACATCTGGGAGAAGCACCTTGGATCTTGATTATAAACATTGTTCGGTAATGAGTATAACAACAAGAGCCCTCTTCTCATTAAGTGGGTACAAATGATATATAAAGCCAATTTTATTTGTTATAGGAAACCTCCTTGGTCCACCACTCTAGCGAATGGGAACCGGAAGTGACAAAGACTCCCGTGCTCCATAAGAAGAGGGGCAATATGCATAGGGGAATCCAGAGGAATGACATACTGGATACAGTGCAATGGGTGTCTGCAATTTCTTATTTTGAAAAGCAGGAAGACTCTGATTGGAAGAATCACAGATCAGTAGGGATGGGCAAAAATCTCCATCTGCTTTACTCAGGAAGTCCATCGATGATGGTCCATTATATATGAAACAGTGATATATATATATACACATAACCAGCCAGTGGTCTTACAGAAACACCCCATTGCAACATTGAGCATTATAGAAGTATACAGATTTAGTGCTAATATAATATTAAGCATACCTGATCAGGCAACACCCATCACTAGGTGGGATCCTGAAATAATATATATATCAACTAAATAAGATAAAAAATAATATGTCGACTTACCCCAGTCAAAGGTGAACAGACGTGTGTAGAATTGCCACAGAAGGAAGACGATACCTGCCCAAGGAAGATACGTTTAGGTCTTATAAATAACAGGTGATAACTGTATTGGGAGTTGCCCGCATATCAGCCTGAACAATCTCCTCCAAAGGATGGCGGATTTGAGCAGTTAAATACGAAGTTAGATGAAGAATGTGGTGCAAACATTATGTAAATAGCGACCTTCCATTGACAAGTCAGAATATGCCAGTCTTATCAGTTTACAAATCCAACCACTGAGCATAATAGGCGATAGAACACTGGAAACTGGAATGAGAATCACATAGAAGGAAGTACAAGCAACATAACATGGCAAGAATGAACTGGACAAAGTAGTCAATCCAGATCCAAATGGGAATACATGTGGGAAATGGAAGGTAAGGAAATAGGAGAAAAGGCTAAACAACCTTCCCGAGCAGCTGATGCCAGATCCATATAGAGGATAACACAAGAAATGATAAAGGATGTGGGAAACATTAATGACTTAAATATTGGAACAACAATGACCCCATGCCTGGAGGAGGAAATTGGTCGGAAGGGAAAGGTGGTACAAGGATCACATTGCAATAAGTTCAAAGGGAGAACTAGACAAGGCATGAAGGACAACATTTAGATCCCCATCCAGCAGAAGAAAGGGACATGGTGGATGGAACAGACAAAAGGAGGGGAATAACTGGGAAGGAGAAGGCATTTCAGAAGTGGGAGAATGGAAGGTGTTCAACACAGCAGCCTAATAACTAGCAACAGGTGACACAAACAAATCCTAATCAAAGAACCAGTTGAGTAACTGGGACAGATGAAGAACAGAAGGATGGAATGGTAATAAGCCATGGTGAATGGACAAAAGTCTGAAGGAAAAACAATGTCTGTGGTACAAAAAGAAAGGTTGAAAGGTATGGGCAAGGAAAGACATTACACTAGGGGTGAGTCTCCCTAAGCTAAGGCAAGGGACTGGCCAAAAGCCACACATGTTTGGTGATATTGGAATGAACCATGTCAGACTGTTATTGTCAGAGGATAGACTGAGGCAGGGGATGTCACTCCAGCAAAGGCCAGAGCAGATGAAACTATGTCTGACCAATAAGCAGGACACAACAAGGAATGGTCTGGAGAGGAGTCTATTTGAAGTGTAGGTATATAAGTGAAGACCCTTCCAAACCTGATTGAATACATCTACAGCTGAAGGGTGTGGAACCAGAGACTAAAAGGAAGAAATTTTAGCAAACACACTTATATGTGGTGTTCCCAGTGGGGAACACACCCAACAAAATACTCATGGAAGAAGAGATCACTCTGTGGGAAGAACCTGGTTGGGTCAAGATAAGCAGTTGACCACTAGATTCATGACACACCAAGATTTCCATGTAGTGGTCATGGGCCTATGAAAGAAGATCCAGAGTCTGAAAACACAGAGATATGGATTTTGTTCCTCCTTGCTTGATGATATAGCTGACAATAGTGGAATAGTCTGAATGAACCATAACCACCAGCCCCCACAAGAGTGGGAGGAAATGACACAGAGCCCGACAAACTGCCAAAAGTTCTAGGATGTTGAAATAGAGAATAGCCTCCTTGACAGACCATTGACAGGAAATCTTTTGGGAATCGAGGAAAGCATGGGTAAATAACAGGTGCAAGTTCACCTAATAATGGCCAGGTGATTAGGGTGCTTGATTCACAATCTGAGAGTCGTGGGTTCAAATTCCCATCCCACATGCTCACCCTTTCAGCCATGGGGCATTATAAAGTTACGATCAATCCCACTATTCATTGGTAAATACAGACAAGGTAGAGTAATAGAAACCACCACCATGGTCAGTTCCATGTTGAGCCATAAAGCAAGGTCGGCCCTGATCCCAGGAAAAGGGTAATGAGATGGTCCGAGGGATTGTGGGAGAAGTTCTACTGATTGAGAAGCATCCAATGGAGGGAATACTTGTGTGCTCAGTCCAAGGAAGCCCACATCCCCAAAAGAGAGATAATCCCTCACACAGAGAGAAAAGAAGAAGGTGGGGCCATTGAGACTGCCTGCACCATATCCCTGAGCTAAAGTAGAAAAGGCTGGGCCCAACAAAGATGGGAATGGAAGAGAAAATTCCAATGAAATAAGAGATCGAGTGGGGTTAAGAATGGACCTCTCTAACTGGATCAGAAAACCCCACTTGATTAGCTTCCCAAAAAAGTAAGCATGATTACTGTTTAGTGTTTTATTTGTTTAATTATCGTTATATTTAGCAACTGTACTTTTATTCTGCTTTAGATACTGAAGATGGAATCTGATAGAATTCCGAAACGTTTATCCATGTCCCCTTTTTGTCAATAAACAATGTTGTATATCATAAGTGTCTTAATCTTGTTTATAATCAAACTTCGTTTTCCTTCGAACACATCGATTGCTAATATTTGTTAGTTTACTTTACACTTAACTCAAAGCTAGGTGCTTAAAATTCTCAAATGGAAACAGATTTTGCAAAGCACTATGATTGTACTATAGTGTTGCCACTAGAATGATATAACAGAAATTATTTTAAAAACAAACATTATGGAGATAACTAGAAGGTTTTGGTATATCTAAAAATTATAATTATTGTACTTGTTCTTCACTGTACTGATTGTTGAAATAACCTATTGATACATCGTGAGTGTAATGCAAGTTCACCTAATAATGGCCAGGTGATTAGGGTGCTTGATTCACAATCTGAGAGTCGTGGGTTCAATTCCCATCCCACATGCTCACCCTTTCAGCCATGGGGCATTATAAAGTTACGATCAATCCCACTATTCATTGGTAAAAAGAGTTGGCAGTGGGTGATGACGGCTAGCTGCCTTCCCTCTAGTGTTACAGTGCTAAATTAGGGATGGCTAGTGCAGATAACCCTCGTGTAGCTTTGTGCAACATTCAAACAAACAAACACATCATACAAATGTAAGGTAATTACCCTAAGAAATAATTTATAGAAAAAGATCACCTTATACTTAACAGTATATAATATGAGAGAACTTAATAAAAGGCAAGAAAATTCTTTCAAAATCTCTTTTTATGCTCCTTCTAAAAAGAAAAGTTGAGAAAAAACTTTAGTATGAAAATTAAAATATCGACATTTTTAAGAATCTTGTTATGTTGAAAAAAATGTGCTGTTTATAGAAACCTTAATTATAAACTGCATGTATTATATATTTTAAAATGGCTAAATACATATTATTTTTGAAATATAAGTACACATTTTCTTTTGTGTCATTGATTAATAAAAATTCATTTAAGAGCTTCTTAGCTTGTCTTTGTACTTTATATAATAATTTTTATAAGGTGAAGCTTACTACAAACTTCATAATGTTAAAGTTTCAGAACTATGTAAAAAGTTACTTATTTAATAATCCTTACAAATATAACCTAGAAAAAGAAAACTTGGGGCATATTCTCTAAGCAATAGTTCAAAGTATAAACCAAAAAAATGTCCTCATAACATTTTGGAACCTATTGGTCCATTTCGGTTGTTCCATTTTCTAAACTAAACTGAAACTCTTAATAAATATATTAAAAAAGAAAAATCTTAAAGCCAGCCCTTATTCACTTACTCATCAAGCTTTCTCTTACATTCACTGCTTCCATAACATCTGAAGGCAATCCATTTCAAAAGCCAACCACCCTTTTAGAAAAATAAAACTGTATTAGCTGAAGACGATTCCTACCTTGCCAAAATTGATATTTGTGTCCACTGGTTCTACTATTCTCACTGGTAAGTATGAAAAAAGATAATGCATCAATACTATCAATTCTCCCTTACAATCTTAAATACCTCAATCAGATCCCTCTTAACTCTTCTTTTTTCAAGAAAAAACAATTTGAGAGATTTCAATCTATCCTCATATAACAACCCCTCCATCCCAGGCAACATTCTAGTAACCCCTTCCAACAATTCAATGTCTTTCTTGAGGTATGGAGCCCAAACTCGAAAAAAAATATCTATAAACTTACAAGTTGTATATAAACTTCAGTAACAGTTAAGTTTTATGTGCATTTTTAGTGTAATTATAAACTAATATTCCCGTAGTGTTTGTTATACCCTTTGTAATTTTTTTCACTAACACAGATGTCTTTATAAAAATTTAAAAAATGCTATATTATGTCAAATCTACCAAAAATGTTTTGTTTCTAAACACACTGGATATTCTTGAGTTGATCAATGGTAAGAATTTGAATTGCATGATTAAAAAATTATAATTCTGCAACATAAAATACAATATAAAGTAATTTTTAATATATTTTAAACTGGTCCATGTTGTCTGACAGCTTACCATATCAATTTAAAGAATCTGAATGTGATAAGAAAATAGTTTAAATTATGCAAGTCATACCATGCTCTTGTATTGAACATTTATAAACAAGGAACAAATTGTAAGTTACATACTTTTATTAATATCACTCAATCTACACAGAATAATATACACGTCCTCCCATAAACACCAATTAAGCAATGCATTAGTCACTGAAGGTACTGAAAAGCCTACAAACTAATTAAATTTCTAAATTGAAAATAACAACTATACACCACTCAACAAACAAAAATATAAAAAAAGGATGTAAAATGTGCTTTTATTTGCAACTTGTGGTTTTACTAATGAACATGCAGTTCTTGCATATGAAGAACTTCTTTTAAGGACACTTCCAGTTCTTCATGTTAATTCTCAATCTTTGCTATTTTGAAATTCTATGCTACAAAGTATATTCCATTGAATCAAGTCATCCTGAAAGTCTATGTAAACTACGTTGTAAATATACATGATGCTGGATCAAACAGAACTAATGATGCTTTTCAATATTACAATACAAAACATTATAAAACACCAAAAACCAAATTTGTTAAAAATTCACAATACAAGGCTAAATATGAAGTTTCTAGTAAAAATCTCATTTTATGACTCTGAAATGAAGTTAATTATTGTTAGTATTAAATTTTCAATTATATTAAAATTAAAAGTGCTCAAACATATAAACCTTTTCCATCTTCACAACAAGCACAAGCTGGTATTAGTAAACTATTAATATTATTAAATAGAGTGTAACAACTCTTCTGTTTAATTCAGATCACAAATTAATCTCTCGATATACGAAATCCTACCACAAAACAAATGCTAACCCAAACAAGAAATGTGGCTCTTAATTATGAATGACAATGTAGCACTAGCGTACAATTTAGCAAAATATATATATAAGTATTAAATGAACCATGTGGTTGATTATTACTGTTCTTTTCTCTTGAAACCCAATTTTTGCTTTACAGAACACACAGAATTTTCAATGAACTTCTTTGCCTGCAATAAATAGTGATCAATCTTTTCTCTGTTGACTTCATAAAATTTTGGGAATGTAAAAACGCCAAGTACGCTCAGAAGAACAATGGTCAGCCCGTTGAACCAGTATCCAACATAAGTCAAGCACCACAACACTGCAGCCATCTTTAACGACTCAAAAAAGTTTTCCACTAGGAGAAGACTGCGAAGTTTAGTGGTCATCCAAATACTTTTCTCAATCAAAACATCTACTACTTCATGAATGTAGTCAGATGGTAAGGAGATTTCCTTCTTCAGATGTTTTTCAAATGGATTGCCCTCATTTGTTTTCTTGGCCACATCTAATGCATATTTGTAGATCCTGAAAACAATGGCGTTAAGAAGAATCATTAGCAAAAAATAAGAAACAACTGAAACAATGGAGAAATACAAAAGTGGAAGCAAGAACAGAAATAGTCCCAAAAACACCATAGCGCTTTTCTCTTTCTTTCGCCAGTAAATAATGCTTTCTAATTCAGGAGACCAGAAAAGATCACATAAACTAACGTTGGAACTTGAACTTGAAGTGGAAACTGGGTGATCAACGGATGCCATTTCTGTCGATATATTATCAGCTGATTTTGATCCTAAGTCATCCATACTTTTTATAAGTACTGCAACTTGAACTTTAAAATGTTCTTCTTCTGGTCAAAAGTTCTCTCAATATCACTATTTCTCTCTTTCACTGCCAGATGGTGCACTACGCACGTGGAAATGAGAAAGAAAGAGGGCCTCGTACTCTCTCAATTGACGTCTGCGTCCAACGCTGGCGACATCTCGCAGTTTTTCGGAAATATACACCTAAAATTAAATATTTAACGTAAATAGTGATATTTTATAAAACTGATACACATTTTGTAAAATTTTAGCTCATATGTAATAGTCCTGTAACAAAGGCTGGTCTAATAAGCTCTTTCTTGTACATAACAATTACCTTCAAAATATTTTTACAAACTATGATCCATGAAAAAAGACATGCATTATTTTTTTTGTCTGTCAAAACAAATGGAAAGAACTGAATCATAACGCGTAAAATAATTTGACGTGTTACTTTTCCATACACCATTTTCAGAATTCTAATTTTGAGATAATAAATTTATAAAATATTTCACATGTTAGACACACGTTTAGTAAATACCAGCTATTTTTGCAGAGTTGTACTTAACAGCAAACAAACATGGAATGCCTGAAAATTCTTGTTTATATCTTTATTTGGCTGTAAGAAAGTTGAGCAAGAAAACTGGGAATTCTGCAAAATTTTCTAAAATTTAAAAATGATGTAATAATAAAAATCAGTGGATTTCGAGTGGTATACCAAACGACTGACTTAAAGGTTCGGTTTCGTACATCATAGCGTGCTGGAACACATATATCTAAAATCAAAAAAGGGGGATTAAGGATTTTAATGTCACCTAGATTCGTAAAAAGGCATCTATAGCATGTACATTTAGCCTATACACGTGCATTTCCATTGCCAGAGTACTGCTAATGAAACCTTGTGTTACGTCTCTGGTCGTTAGTTAATTTCCCGTATAATTTCTTTCCGATGAAACTTTAACGACACAAGTCCTTTCTTAAATAAAACTAGTTTATTCTTTCTCAATACAACTTTGCAATTTCCAGGGTCACGCTATAACTTAAACAAACGCTATAATTCACAACGAATGACACACGCGCTCGACTCAACTGTCCGTCTCTATCTCTGTCTGCAATTCAACTGCATTCCATTGTTGCCGTCACTTCTTGGCGGTCTTATACACATGAATACCGCATATCTAGTAAACACTCGAGCATTCACGAACCTTCGATAATATGACGTGTCACTAGAGTCACGTGACTTCCGCTGTCGTAACACTGCCCCTTCCTTAGTAGTGTTCGTCCCGAACAATAGCCACTTTCATTAAACCAATAAACAATTAACAATAACATAATTAAATGTACAGAATTTAAAAACGCAAAATTACAATTCAACAAAGTCTCTTAATTTTACGGGACGTATCTTCTTCCGTACTGGTCTCCGTCTCGTTGGCTTCTGCTTCATGTGGGGTTCATTTGCTTCATCAC